ACGCCAAACAGATTTTTCGAATCATCAAAAATTTGTCTGCTGTAAAGCACTTGTTTGCTTTCTTAACAAAATACAAGATATCGGGCATTAAGTGGGAAAGGAGAAATACCCACAAGATGACTTTAACATATGAAAAATTTGACCAAAATTGCAGCATAACTGTTACAGAAGAGCCAGCCGTATTCAAATAACTATTAGCTGCCATTGCAATTATCATTCTTTTCATCGAGGTTTTGTATATTCGCCGTACTTAAACTTCGAACATTGTTTTTATAACGTTGACCTTCGTGTAATGGAAAAAAACGCTGAAAATTTCTGCACAGTGTTTCGTTGGACGGTACTGTCATGTTTTTGTATTTTCTCCCTGTCGTGTCTTTTGACTTTTATTTGGATCACTTTTCATCACACTTTGTGTTCTCCAAGTTTCCTCGCCTGAGTTTTTATTATGTGACTTTGATTAAAGACTTACCTTTTGTTGCCCCGTTTTTCTGTTGCATGCTACCAGACTATTGACAATAAGGTCGTGTTTGACTAGGCTCAAAGTCGCGGCGTGGTTTGGTGTGCGGCTGTTAACGTTAGATTGTCCACTTGGAAAAACCACTGGAATCCCGGGAGATCGATGACTGATCCCATTTCGTTGAGGTTAAGTTTATTGATTCTCAATACGCTAATCTGTGTTAGCGAAACCCTCGACCATATAACGCAGGCTTTACCGTTAGAGGTATTATGTATTTTTGGTGTAATTTGAACCTTTCTCAAAACACTTACTGGCTAGCATTTTTTAGTGAGTTAATTTTCTAATGGCTGGGGTCGCTAACCACATGCTCAGCCCTCCTCTTTCATCTGGGCTCGGGACCGGCAGTAGCCTCAGAGGGGCTCCAAATGGGGTTTCCTTCTTAATTTAACACCGTTTAAAATGGACTCAGAATCCGTATTTTGATATAATTTAATACGAGTAACTCAAAAACGCCTTGTACGCCATACGGAGGAACGTAGTCTGTTTAGTCGAATAAATTTTGGTTCGTCAATTCTGCGTTCAAACCGAATTCAGGGATTTTGGTCGTTAAGCTTTGTGTTCTCGAACTCACATTGTTTTGGCCTAATCTTTTGGATATTTAACTCTAGAAACCTGAAAACCAAAGTTTTATTATGAAATGTGTTACATTTATAATAGGAACAAAATGTTCGGATTATTTACCTTCAAGCTACGAATACATGTTCGTTACTAAAAATAGAATCACGTTTTTTATTACTTGGATTGTAATTTATGGGTTTATCTATCGTCTATGCTTTAAGTTTGAACTAGATCAGTATTTAGACGTAGCAATAACAGCATTAAGAAGGTACTACGATTATTATTCCAACGCTTTATCACACCGAATGCTTTAACAACAGGCAGTAAACTATCGCATAATTGAAGAACAATAGGGGAAAACCTAGTTCAGAGAATGGCACTGGTGAAGAAAAGTCTCTTCAATAGATTGTCGCTAATTCTCCTTCAGAGTACAAAAAATAAAAAAATATTAATTTATGATGATTTAAATGTGTACTTCGTACAGCTTTGAAATGAAGATTGATTAAAATACAATTCTATGAGAAACATTTGAGTACCACTCCTTAACGTTTTGGTTATGGTTATGAATATTCGCATCTGGCTAAACTGAATGATTGTCAGGCAGTTGAACGAAGCCGTTGATCAACACGAGAAGTTCAGAATACCACCGAGTCACAAACATGATTCTACTGGATGCCAAATGTTCAATGTTCAGTAATAACACTGAAAATGAACAACAAAATAAGCGTAACGAACAAACTGGGTATGACAATAATTGCAAAACAACAAGAACTAAATAAAGTATGCTCTCAACATGCGTTACTCCTACCCTGCCTTCTTATCCAACCGAAAACAATGTCCAAATGCCAAAATAACGGAATGTAGACATTATCAGACAACAATTAGTTGTCTTCACGTTCCGACTCTACGGCGTAAGGTTGTAAAATTTGCTCTCATCCTCAAGATTTGTGAATTCATCTGGATGCTATTACATGCACAGGTAGGCGACTTCTTAAAACAAGTCGGTGAAGTGAACGCAAAAATGTAGTGTCAGTGGAATAACAATGAATCCTACCAAAATAATGCTCCAAGCTGAATGTTCACATAATTGAAATAGACATCGTGCATTAGTCAACTTGTAGAGGTAAAACTACTTACACTACGCAGTTTTACCCCAAACATATCGATCTGCTAGTAAGATTGTTTTTCCATTTATAGCTAATAAGATTTTCACCCCCCAAAATACCCGAAACAATAATTACCTAGATATATTATATTATGGGAAAAATCCTGCCTTCTAGCACAAGACACCAGTTATTTTGGTCGACGATACTCTGAGTTAGTCTACACGCAAAAATAGTTGGTTCCAGCTTATCACCGACGATGTTGTAGCTTCACACTTCGATTCACAAGCGAATTTGGCAACTCCGATAATCATAAGGCCTGGAACAACGGTATTGACCTTACTCTACTCGTACTGCATACCATCCCAGTACTCATGCTGCTTTTGTATCCTTATCTAACTAACTAACGACTAGCCACTTCCTATCCTTTGCTGTACTATCTATAGTTTTAACTCATATCAAACATCCACTACCGGTTAGCATATTTGACGTTCCCACGGCAGGTAGCACTAATTCATACGAACCCGTCGAGATTACGCTGTTGAAATCAAGAAAAAACTAAAGACATTAACAATGATGATACGGAGATATAGTTTAAACATTAGCCAGATATGTATATTTGGAGAGACTCTTTTTTAGCTTTCATTGGATAGTCATCCGTATTGGTCGAATCTGGGATTTTGTGAGGCTGTAGAAATATGGTCTATTATGGGTGTGAGTACTGCTCTAATAATAGACCTAGTCCTAAAATTGTAGATTCATCATGATATAACTGCCTAATCTATAAGATCTTACGTGGAAGTCACATCATCGTCTACACCAACTCACTGCATCGTGACAATTACCAATACATGATGGCGAACAAGCTTAGGCTAGAGAAAGAACAATATATTTAATATGAATAAAATATATAAGGTAACATTCAGCAGAGACCACGCCTGCATGGCCGAACCATGCTATCAGATCAACTCGAATTAATTCAATTCATTGTTCGCGCCTTCTCCATCGTTAGGTATTTCTCCGCGTTAAATATTGAATATCTATTTTTCGAGTAGTTTCGTGTTCAGCTTTGAGGATTGTATGGTTATGGCCAATGCCACTACAAGGCCACTCAAGTGACATGTAGCAAGGAGAACTCAGTAAAAGATTAATACACTAAGTAAGTTACAAACCTATGGTACAGGTTGACAAATTATGTGCAAGCCTTTCAAAATTTGCACAGTAACATTGTCAGTTAGTTCCTAAGAAATGGTTTGTTGAACAATTCATCAGATTTTAGAAGACTGAAATGTCTGATACAGGCTGCCGAGATGAAATGAATAGCTGATCTGGACGTGATCTATCTAATTACTGACAAACAATAACTGAAAATGAACGTCGAATAAATATTGTACAATCAAATATACGAACAATTTCACCAACGAATTAAAAAGTCAAACTTACTTACTTACTTACGCCTGTTACCCCCAATAGAGCATAGGCCGCTGACCAGCATTCTCCAACCCACTCTGTCCTGGCCCTTCTTTTCTAGTTCCATCCAATTCTTGTTCATTTTCTCATGTCTATTACCATTTCCCTGCTTAATGTGTTCTTTGGTCTTCCACTCCACTTTTGGCCTTCAGGATTCCATGTGAGGGCTTGTCTTGTGACGCAGTTGGGTGATTTCCTCAATGTGTGTCCTATCCACTTCCAGCGCTTCTTCCTGATTTCTTCCTCCACTGGGATCTGGTTTGTTCTCTCCCACAGTACGTTGTTGCTAATAGTGTCCGTCCAATGGATCTGAAGTATTTTGCGTAGACAACTGTTAATAAACACCTGTATTTTCTGGATGATTGCTTTCGTAGTTCTCCAGGTTTCCGCCCCATACACTTGAACGGTCTTGACATTTGTATTAAAAATCCTGACCTTGGTGTTGGTTGACAGTTGCTTTGAGTTCCAGATGTTCTTCAGTTGTAAATATGCTGCTCTTGCTTTGCCGATCCGCGCCTTCACATCTGCATCAGATCCACCATGTTCATCAATGATGCCGCCCAGATATGTAAAGGTTTTTACATCTTCCAAACCTTCTCCGTCAATTGTGATTAGATTGGTGCATGCTGTGTTGTATCGGAGAACCTTGCTCTTCCCTTTGTGTATGTTGAGACCTACTACTACTGAGGCTGCTGCTACACTGTTCGTCTTCTCCGGCATTTGTTGTTGCGTTTGGGATAGAAGGGCCAGATCATCTGCAAAGTCTAGGTCGTCCACCTGCATCCTAGCTGTCCACTGTATCCAGTGCTTCCTCTCAGATGTTGACGTCTTCATGATCTAGTCGATCACCAAGAGAAAGGGTGAGAGTAAGAAACCTTGCCCGACACCGGTCTTTACTTCGAACGACTTTGTCAATTGTCCTCCATGCACGATTTTGCAGTTGAATCCATCATATGAATTCTGTATGGTATTGACGTACGTCTCCCCGAAAAAGTCTAAACGGTCTAGCTTAAATCGGTTCATGAGTTCAAATATCAAACTAATACAAACCCAACAAACCTCCACACTGATATAAATATGATGTGCTTCTGACGTAAATTTGCTCTAATTTTGCCAGCAACGAAGTTTCGCTTACTTACATTTAGCCATTAATGTGTTTGCGTCTTGACCGAAAATATGCTGGGTTGCAAACCTTTTAGGAGCTATGTGTGGAACTTTCTGGGGGCAAGAAGGGCAAGAGAAACATAAGCTGACGACTCAGTATATATATAGAATGAAACTAAAGATACGGAATTGAAGATTGAGGACCAACCTATAGCTAGAGCGCACATTACGAAACGTGCTAAACGTGAATGGAGTCAGGTTCGGCGGTTCACGTTCATCCTGTGGTGTTAGCATCAATTGTCGATGCATATGAAAGACGTGCGGAAGGATCAGAGAGGGTTATCGGCACTCTTCTTGGTATGATGACATTGTTTTCATGAGTACCGCAGGGACTTGGGGAAAAGGGATAATCGAAGTTACTCATTGCTACAGTGTTCTGCATCAAGAATCTGCGGTCGATGTGTCTATGGACATAGAATTCAAAAACAACATGACCGTTCTCGAGCGCAAAGTAAATGATCGCTGCTAGATAATTAAGTATTTAGGTAAACCCCTCTCATAACATTGTTGGGTGGTATGCAACGGGGAATGAAATTCCGGAGACTCTCAAACTTATCCATCAAGATGTTTACATGCAGAAGTCAAAAAACGCAATCTTTTTAATGGTAGACACAAATATGACTATCGGGGACAAAATGGCCATAAAAGCTTATCTTTGCAGGAAGATGGGTATTCCTGGAGGAACACAGGGATTTATTTTTGTACCAGTAGAAGTAGAAGTCGAGTGCTACGGTGCAGAACGTTGTGCCGTTGAAATGATGGTTTCTTCTATTGATCCAAGGAGTAAATTAGAACCTGAAGTAAGCTGATAATTCATTGGATTATACCCTCAATCGCCAACTGTCTATTAATATTTTTCGCGGAAATTTTTACTAGTCTAGCTTTAAGACAGATTTCTGACGTCACAATGTTTCTGTTGGTCCTCATTTTCAACATCATTTTAATAACTAAATGTAGGACCACAGTTCATTATCAAGGTTGTCATTCATTTATAGAGGGTTCTGACTAACTAGATTTGTAAGACTCAAATATGTAGCACATTGTGATGACTCAATTTTCATGGTGTAGAACGGCAGAATGACATTTTCTGACAGCTTGTAAATACCCTTTCACTTGACAACCCACTTCTAGAAAAGTTACAGTTGCTAAAATGAGACATCGCATTTAAAAATGCCTACTTGTTTGTTAGCAGATGGGTGCCAATCTTGCCAAATGTGTTGGTTGTGACTAAAGAACTTTTTCTGCGGGTCTCCAATATGATAGACGATTGCTAGATAATCTAGAAATACCTGACATACCACTAAGAGTTTTTCAAATATCGGTTAGATGTCATTACGTTCACCATAAAACTGCTTTCCTATAACGCAATCCGAAGCCTGCCACTGCACTAATGTTCCGCTTTTCAAAGTCAGCTGAGTCCTCACTGAGGAGTTGGGCAAGTTAGTAAACTGCAAAATTCTATTTCGAAGGAAATCTGTTGGCAAGAACTTATGGAGATATCTAAAAATACAGATTAGTAAACAGGTTCAATTGGTTCATTCCCTCTAGTTAAATTTGGCATTCCTCAAGCTGTTGTCAAAGCATTGGTCAGGCTTTAAAAACTCATCCGATAAAAATGAACGAGTTGTTCTTGTTGATCTTGAAAGTATGAACCCCAGCCGTTACTTTTCGGTTGTGATACATATGATTTTTCATATTTAACTACAAGTAACGTCGAAATAATAATTGTGATGAGACCGTCGACTAAGCAGCGTTAAGATCAGTCGGATAAAAAGTAATTTAACGTATAAATTCATATGGTCCCATTAATGCTACTTTTTCTTCACCAAACCGAAGCACATCATGTAGGTTCAAACTGGCAATCTTGGTAGGTGAGTCAAGTGCCGTGGACACCAATCCACACCTAACAGGGAATTATGGGATATCATAGTACTAGTTGTGACTTTGCATTTAACTCATTAATATACCAGTCTTTCACGTATTGAGTAAATTCCCACAGCAAGGTGTGCTACTGTCAATGTGCAAATAGATTGAAGAAATATTATGAGGATTAGACGAAATCATAACGTTAATTAAGCAGGTCAACTGTAGTGAATTGTTTACACACAACACGGTATTGATTGCCAACAACTGCTCGAAGTCCACTATGGCGAAAGTATCTCAACCATAAACATCCCGTAAAATCATTTCCTTTTAATTTGCACCTACTAATGTAATTTTGCTGGCTTATACCTTTCTGTAAAGTAGCAGTATACATCAATACATTGTTTCACTAGTTTATATCACATTTTTTCGTAGTAGTCCAACAGAGTAATGATATCACAGATGGAGCTGAGTTGAAGAGATGTATTTTAAAGTTCAATGGGATTCTTAATTGTCTGAGTTTTACTTTTCTTTTGTGCGATACTAACAGTATGTAGCGTGAGACTTGTCTTAAATAGTCATATTTCATACCTGTGGAACTAAGACCTTACAAACCCATATATTAACACTCGACTTTCAACTATTTCGCTGGTATGCAGCATAACTGACAGTTAGCAATATACACCTGTGTTTGATTTTTGAGTCAAGTTAATATTTGAAAGTTCTAATCAATTTATGTAACGCAATAAGATGACGAAGCTTATCAGAATCACGTAATATATGGGCGCAATATATTTTGAACAATCAGTAAGCCTTAGTTTTACCCGCTGGCCACTTTCACATAACACTATAAACACTGATTTGATGTAAACCCTATGACCCGTTTCAACTAAATGCTTAACAATGGAGTAGGATAATTGTTTATTACATAATCTTATTAGACGGGGCACGGGTTGGATAGCATGTCAACGTTTGTAGTGTTGTGTGACAGTGGCCAGGGGCGAATACTAGAATTCATAGTAGCTTCAGACGTACGATTTATCCTTCCGTAATGTGCTCAGAGACAGTTTATGCTCATTTCTAACCTGCCGTTATAGTAGTAATTTACAAGTCAATGCTGTGATCCATTTCGTTTTCCTTAGTTATGCTTGCTTTTTATTTATAAAGGTCTTGGGAAGCAAATAAGTGATCAGATTATTCAAAAAATATCGTGCTGATTTATAACATAGTTCTGGTAAATTTCGTCTTAGTACGGTTTTTTATACTAGCTTTTAGCAACCCGGAAGTGACAACCACTCTCATATCTCTAACAACAACAGAGACCAACTTTTCATCGGTCGAATCCCTTCGTCACTTTAATTTTTCTCCTATCGGCACTACTAACGCTAACAATTCAAGTTTACGAAATGTTCTTAATTTGGAACCTTCCTTTAAACTGTATGTTATAGCTTTCAATGTCAAACCGAACAGCAGGATTCCTTAGAAGGGACTGTTAAGTCTCATGCTATCGATTTGTGCTATGCTTTCAAAACACGGATTTGGAACCTAAGTATGGTCATTTACTGGACATCACCTCATCAAAATGGAGAACCAGAGTATATCCTGGGACGTGATTGTTACTTTCTGTGGCTTTGCTGAATTGGGTATAGCACTAAGTTCAAAGTAAAACAGGCCCACCTGAACTGAATTTCAATAGACAGTCGCTTGTGCACTGTCTGACTAAATGGAACAGCAAGAAAAAAAATCAGATACTTCGATGTCAGCCACACCACCAGTGTTGCGGTTTAATGTGATGCCACTCGGCTGTCCAAACCAAAGTAGGTACAACGGGGTTCAAACCTGGGATTAAGTGGCTGATGGTCGACTTCCAGTAGCCCTACACACTGTTTAGGAGATGGGAAAATAAGAACTCGAGAAGACGGAAACACGTTGTACGCACTTCGATGATTCTACTTACGTTCTCACTGATGGATTTTGTAGAAAGCCTTTCATCTTTCTTAAAAATCCCAACATTTTAGACGTAATAATGTATGATTTTACTGCCCAAGTAAGTAATTTAAACTCAAACTGTAAGGCATTTAAATATGTCTCACGGAGTTTTGGCTCGGAGAACAGATCATGGTGACCAGGTGCTGGAAATGTATTCAGATAGTCGTTTATTTCTAGCAAACACCTAATTTAAGTGTAAGGAAAGACGATGTCCATCATGGTCACCCACACAATGGACTTAGACGTTGAACGCAAATAGATCACAGTCCCTTTAGCCATCGTTGGAGGAGTCCCGTGGAAGACTACCGCTCATTCCGTGGCACATGTTTAAACTCTGGTTACTCTTATGCAAGCACTTGTTTGCGGGGTCCTACTAGATAAAGTAAAGCCGCAACAAGAAGATTCCTTTGTGTTCAGCTTGATGACGAAGAAGTCAGAAATCTATTTTTTAAAAAAAAACAAGAGAAGCAGTCAGCCCCAAAACAGCTGTAAAATCTACCAGCAACTTGAACCAAAAACGTTAAGAAACATCAGCGGCTTTCTGTAGCATCCACAAGACTGATAAATATCCCAAAACTCCACGCCAAGTTCCGAACGTGACATAGAGTAGAGGCAGCTTAAAAATTCTGTTAAAGACGCAATGATCGTGAGGTATTGAGTACTGAAAGAAAGAGATAGGGTAGGAGTCCGCAGTGGTGAACGGTAGACTATTCAGATTTATCAAAAATACGAGTACGAAAATCCGGCCGTTAATGAAACTATTTCAATGGAAGGAGGGATTGTTATCTACTTAAATTACAGGAGATTAGACCAATGAATAGAACAATTTGAGGAACAGTTCAGTCGGCTTTCACTAAGCCATTTCATTCAAAGAACCTAAATGAGCTATTGATGTAAGTCCTCTAAATCTTAGTGATGTTGCCCAGGCTACAAGTAACCTAAAGCAAAGACAAGCAACAGGCATGGGTGGAATAGTCCTGGAGTCACTCCGGGGGCTACTGCCGGTCCCAAGCCGGATAAAGGAGAAGGGTTGGGCATGGGGTTAGCGTCCCCATCCCGTAAAAAACTAACTCGCTAAAAAAACGATAACCAGAAAAAATTATTCAAACCTTCTAAACTCTGCCCCGGGAGTCAGAAGGTCTTCATTTAGAAGAACTATGACGTCTCATGATGAAGGCCGAATTCCTTCGGAAGTTACGAAGCCGATGCCCCTTCTGACAACCAGAGCAACCATTTATTTAGGTACATGGAATGTTCGTACAATGTGGGACACCGGGAAAGCCTTCCAAATCGCTGCAGAAATGAGAAGATACAACCTGGAGGTGCTTCGGATAAGTGAAACACATTGGACGCAAGTTGGACAACAACGACTAGCTTCAGGGGACCTTCTGTTATACTCCGGCCACGAAGAAGAAAATGCTCCACATACACAAGGAGTTGCATTGATACTGTCCAAACAAGCACAAAATGCATTTATAGGATAAGAATCTCATGGACCAAGGATCATCAAAGCCTCCTTCAAAACAAAGAAAGAGGGCATTTCAATGAACGTCATCCAATGCTATCCGCCTACCAACGACTACAAAGAAGACGCTATATATCAATTCTATGACAGGCTGCAGTCAATCATCGAGAAGTGCCCAACAAAGGACCTGACCATTCTGATGGGAGATTTCAATGTCAAGGTTGAAACGGACAATACTGGATATGAAGACATCATGGGACGACACGGACTGGGAGAAAGGAACGAAAATGGTGAGAGATTTGCAAACCTATGTGCCTTCAATAAACTGGCCATAGGCGGCACCATATTCCCACATAAACGCATACACAAAGCCACATGGACTACACCGGATCACACCACGCAAAACCAAATCGACCATATTTGCATCAACAAAACGTTCAGGAGGACTATAGAGAAAGTGAGAACCAAGAGAAGAGTTGATATAGCATCAGATCCTCACTTGCTGGTCTCCAAGATGAAATTGAAACTCAAGAAGCACTGGACAATGGGGCGGACAATATCACAAATGTTCAATACGGCCTTTCTTCAGGACACTGACAAACTCAACAAATTCAAGATAGTCCTCAGCAATAAGTTCCAGGCCTTTCATGATCTACTCAATGGAGAAGGAACTACTATGGAGAGCAGCTGGATGAGGATCAAAGAAGAAGTCACTTCAACATGTCATGAGGTCGTGGGTCACAAGAAACACCATCACAAGGAATGGATCACTGTTGATACACTGGATAAGATTCAAGAAAGGAGGAACAAGAAAGCAGCAATCAATACCAGCCGAATAAGAGCAGAGAAAGCCAAGGCACAAGCTGAATACACAGAAGTAAACAAACAAGTGAAGAGGAGTATCAGAACCGACAAACGTAAATACGTGGAGGATTTAGCAACGACCGCGGAAAAGGCTGCAAGAGAAGGAAACATGAGAGAATTGTATGACACGACAAAGAAACTCTCTGGGAATCGCCGCAAACCATAACGACCAGTGAAAAGCAAGGAAGGCAAGGTAATCAATCACCAACATTGGACAACAACGAAACAGGTGTGTAGGACACTTCAAAGAACTCTTGATCGACCAGCTCCACTGAACCCACCCAATATCGAAGCAGCACCCACGGACCTCCCAACCAATGCTGACCCACCAACAATTGAAGAAATCAGCATGGCCATCAGGCAAAACAAGAGTAGAAAAGCAGCAGGACTAGACAACATTCCAGCAGAGGCACTGAAAGCAGACGTAGCAGTAACTGCAAGGATACTCCACATTCTCTTCGATAAGATTTGGGATGAGGAACAAGTACCAACAGACTGGAAAGAAGGACTTCTGATCAAAATACTGGAGAAAGGCGATCTCAGCAACTGTGATAACTACAGGGGCATCACTCTTCTCTCAATACCGGGAAAAGACTTCAACAGGGTATTGTTAAACAGAATGAAGGACTGCGTAGACGCCCAACTTCGTGACCAACAGGCAGGATTCCGTAAGGATAGATCGTGTACAGACCAAATCGCAACTCTACGGATCATTGTGGAACAATCAATTGAATGGAATTCATCACTCTACATCAACTTCATTGACTACGAAAAAGCATTTGACAGCGTGGACAGGACAACACTATGGAAGCTTCTTCGACACTACGGCGCGCCTCAGAAGATAGTCAATACCATACAGAATTCCTATGATGGATTCAACTGCAAAATCGTGCATGGAGGACAATTGACAAAGTCGTTCGAAGTAAAGACCGGTGTCGGGCAAGGTTTCTTACTCTCACCCTTTCTCTTGGTGATCGACTAGATCATGAAGACGTCAACATCTGAGAGGAAGCACTGGATACAGTGGACAGCTAGGATGCAGGTGGACGACCTAGACTTTGCAGATGATCTGGCCCTTCTATCCCAAACGCAACAACAAATGCCGGAGAAGACGAACAGTGTAGCAGCAGCCTCAGTAGTAGTAGGTCTCAACATACACAAAGGGAAGAGCAAGGTTCTCCGATACAACACAGCATGCACCAATCTAATCACAATTGACGGAGAAGGTTTGGAAGATGTAAAAACCTTTACATATCTGGGCGGCATCATTGATGAACATGGTGGATCTGATGCAGATGTGAAGGCGCGGATCGGCAAAGCAAGAGCAGCATATTTACAACTGAAGAACATCTGGAACTCAAAGCAACTGTCAACCAACACCAAGGTCAGGATTTTTAATACAAATGTCAAGACCGTTCAAGTGTATGGGGCGGAAACCTGGAGAACTACGAAAGCAATCATCCAGAAAATACAGGTGTTTATTAACAGTTGTCTACGCAAAATACTTCAGATCCATTGGACGGACACTATTAGCAACAACGTACTGTGGGAGAGAACAAACCAGATCCCAGTGGAGGAAGAAATCAGGAAGAAGCGCTGGAAGTGGATAGGACACACATTGAGGAAATCACCCAACTGCGTCACAAGACAAGCCCTCACATGGAATCCTGAAGGCCAAAAGTGGAGTGGAAGACCAAAGAACACATTAAGCAGGGAAATGGTAATAGACATGAGAAAATGAACAAGAATTGGATGGAACTAGAAAAGAAGGGCCAGGACAGAGTGGGTTGGAGAATGCTGGTCAGCGGCCTATGCTCTATTGGGGGTAACAGGCGTAAGTAAGTCCTGTAAATCTTTGGGGATAGTAGTTTAGTCTTAGCAACTGGATTGACTGGGGACTGAACATAAGCCCTTCTGGTGGATGTTAATCGCTGCTCGTCCCAGTTTGTAAGATATGGAAAAAGCTCTTGTGATAACCACCGAGTAGTCGGTTTGACTAACACAGTATCTAAAATATATTGAAAGTGTCAAGTGACCAATGGGGAGGTTAGACGCTGTGTTTGGTAAAGGGAAATTGGTCGATAAGGTAGTGAATCTTCACTGACTGAGGTGGTATGAATATGTGTTGTCTGTCAGGTAACTGAACGCTCCTACCTGAGCCGTCCAATTACTGCTGATACTGTTATTAATCATGCTCTCTGGGATTTATCTTGATAATGTCATCTCGCTTCGCTGTGGTATGGCACTGTGAATCAATGCACATAAAGGTCCTATATTGTGTATGATTGACTGATTGCCTACTGATTAATATCGATTCTAGTCAATAAAAATATGAAAAGTATCTATAGTTTGTTTGATGATATATGCCTCTGGAGTTGTGTTTCTGTATAACTCGTAGATATATGAGTGTTTTTACATTCGACGTGATAAGAGTTAAAACGCTTCGACTGTGTTTGATTCACTTTTCTCTCTCATGAAACGAGTAAAAGGTTAGTTTAATTACATTTGCTTGTTCACGTCGTTTTTTTTAAAGCCTATTCATATTATCCATAAACAGTTATAGATGACATTTCGGGATTTCAATTTTGTGATCTATTCGAAACTTTTAGCTTGGAGATGACATGGTCTATCTGTATCAACTTTCACAACATCTGCTCACTATGTTGGATCAGGTCATTCGTTACGTTGAAAGTGTTATCGATAACAAATGTCCAGCCGACCCCAAAATCGGAAGGTCTATAGCACAGTTAATTTTCTCAATCCCCAAATTAGACCCTGATCACTTGGAGCAATTGATCAATTCAAGCTATAAAGATTTGCTGATGATCACTTATCTCACTAATCTTATACGGACGCATCTAAAGATTTTAAATTTGGCCCAGTGAACATTCGCATCTCAAGTACATTTTCTCAGTGTTGAGCAAATTATCCAGGTGTAAATGCTTACAACTAGTAGACAAGTATAAATTGTTGCCCTGATTTGTAGGTGATACATATATTCAAGTTCCTGGAAATGCAGTATTTTAATGAAGTGTGACGTGTATTATAAATGGTTGTTTCAAATGATTATATTCCAACCTATTGATGTAGGTTTAATAGCATCGTTTCACTGGTTGCTTGCAGACTTTGCAGGTTAAGAGCTTCATTACGTCTAATTTTTCTGTCGCGATTGCATTAGTGCGAGTTATTCGAATCTATGTTCATTTAAGTAGTATTATTTCTCTATTTGTGTTCTTCACAGTTAGCAATATATGCGTCCGAAGATTTTAAAAGAAGTGATTTAGATTGGCTATTCAACTGATGTGATCTGGTAATTCGTCTGAAGTGTAAACTTACTTTTTACATCTATCTAAAGATATTTTATCTGAATATCGAAAACGCGTCTCATACAACAGGTTTGGTTAGGTGGTTAAAAAAAAACTGAGCGCTGCACTAACGTTCTTATGTTCCATTTGTCACGCATCAAATCAAAGTAACTAACATTAACTGTCGATATTTTATTACAAAGACCAAAATTTTAAAAGTAAAGTACAAAAACAAATAAAATTAAGAAGCCTAGAAGCTAAAAGTAGATTAAGAAAAGATTTAGAAGAAACTAAACAATAAACACATCCACATTACGGCAAACAATTACGAAGCATCTAAGTTCTCTAGCTATCATCATGAGTAGTAATAAGTGTGTTGCCGTAACATGGGAATATCAACATTCTGGAAGAATTATTACGCAACAAAAAGCTCTCGACGTAGTCGAAAATTCTTATGAGGGAATATAATGTACTGTAATAATTGAGAAATTAGTCAGAATTTCTTCGTAGTTGGTAAATATTCGAACGTTTAGATTGCTCAAAGTTTGGAGTTGATCTAGTTCATCTGAATGACCAGTGTGTTTATATCCAATGTTTGGTTATGAACATTTCCAGATTCTTTAAAATGTCGATAAAATGTTCCAAGATAATGCTCTTACAAATTAATTTCTGATCTAGTTAAACGAACTGTAGCAAAAAAGGATGCCTCCTACAATATATAATAACCTAACAAAATCCTGTTACTAGTTCCAATGTTATGACTGCGAAACGAACTGCTATATAGTACTTGTACAACAGGAAAAGACTGATGAGGTTAGATGCAGTGAGAAATACAAGACTGTGAATAATGTATCTCTGTATCATACTGATTTGCCACGAGTAATCAAAAAATACCTGCTTCGACTTAGGCACCCGAACAGTATCACAACCCACACACAAATTAAGGGACTTATGGCACATATATATTCGCTACCTTTTTGTACCAATATTTGTGTTCAAATAAATAATTCCGTAACATGCTTCAATGATTTGGCGGCATGATTTTGCAACCATCATTTAACCTACTCGAATGCTCCCTTGTTTTGAAGACGCAACTGGCGAATATTCGATTTCGTACGCTTTCTTAGACGAATCCCATTTTTTATTTCACTCAGCAGCTCATCTCTAACAATTTCTCAAACCTTTCTTGTTCCAGGATTTATATTACCTGGATGGTGAACCTTAGAAATACACTCTAGTAATATTTGTAGTGAGACAAATTGCTTCTAAACCGGAACCATGTCATATAACCCACCCTGAAGACTATTTCGTAAAATATCCTACGGATGTTTATTATCACGACTCGTGAATGTGATTCAACTACTTGACTTGATTCAAGTATATAGCGTATTTGTATAATTGGCTCGACCATTCTTCCCGTTCAAGCCAAATGAATTGAATCCATTTGGATGGCATAAAAACTGAAATGAAGAAAACATCTAACTGATCCAAACAAATTGAGCATTAGGCAGAAAGCTAATAATAAATATACTTTTTGTTCGCTAAAAAATTCCCATCATATCAAAACAATTGTATGAACGAAGAATATTCTTTTCAATAATTTCTCATCAGGTTCTACAATTATAAATTCAAATTAATAATCCATAAAATTGGCCAGATTTAAGACAGAGTACATCATTTGGAAGTTGTAATATGTGAATTAAGAATTGTTGTTTGTTATAAAATCATATCGTCAATGTTGGGGCTGTTTAATATAAAGTGTTAACTTGAATCAGTTTATAAGCGAAATGAAATTGTGCGATAAATGATGTACTCTGTCTTAAATCTGGCCAATTTTATGGATTATTAATTTGAATTTATAATTGTAGAGCCTGATGAGGAATTATTGAAAAGAATATTCTTCGTTCATACAATTGTGTTTTAATATAATTAGAATTTTTCAGCGATTAAAATCTTGTGGTCAACCCATTGCGTTGAGGGCACTCAATAAGTTCCTGAAGTATAACGCAAAGTTCACAGAAACGAAAACATTATTGGTATTTATAAAAAACTGTATCGAATCATCTCATTATCCGAAACTGTTCTATAAGTCGTTACGCCGTAATCACGTTCATCCAAATAGAAAAACATTAAAACGCTATGCACTTAATAAAATTGACACATTGAATAATGACTTGACAGATATAGAAGTTAGTATCGCTCGCAGACGATTTGTAGTTGATGAATTAACAGAAGACCTTAAGTCCCAGTTTATGGAGTACGTCACAAAAAAGAAGAAAGGTTCAAACAAGAAACATATCCAACTTCTCAAAAGCCTAGAAAATCAACCAGTTGAAAATAAATTTCCGACTGAACCAAAGAAGTATGTGCATAATTTTTCCGGTACTGAATTAAATAAAGAAAAAATTGAAGTATTAGCGCTTGGTCTAAAATTCTGTGATACACGAAACCGTGTAAATCAAATCGATACGGACATCCAGTTTGAAAACCTAAATCGTCAGACAGATCTAGTTCCGACCTATGATCAGGAACTTGAACGTTTCAAATCAAACCTAGTTGACTGCTGCTATCAGTTTAAGAATAGTAGATATAACTACCGAAGTATTCTAAGAAACAGGGAGGCCATAAATGAACTTATTGGTGACGAGAATCTGATTATCACAAAACCCGGTAAATGAACAGGAACTGTCTTAACAAAAAAGATGAATAACGTCCTGTATGATCCTCAAAAATTTCAGAAACTGAATAGCCAAAAAGATGTCAATAATAAGATAGAGAATGAACTGACCATATCTTTAAAAAAGCTGAGAGATCAACAGATGATTCCAACAGACGTACGAAATAATTAAGCCGATAGGTACGCATTTACCTAGGTTATACGGGCTGCCGAAGATACATAAACCGAATATCCCATTAATATCAATTTTGGACATGTACGATTATCCATATCATATTGTAGCAAAGTGGTTAGTAACCGTTTTGAAACCAATCCATAAACGCCTGATGAAACATAGTATTAAGGATGTATTACAATTCGTTGACAAGATTAAAAACATAAATACGAAAGACCAAACGATGATGTCCTTTGACGTAGCATCGTTGTTCACAAATGTCCCACTCAGAGGAACTGTAGAATATATTTGTGAACAACTTAGAGAACAGGAACTGGAAACAACAATCCCTGTGGAGATCATCAAAGAATTATTACTAAAATGTACTATGAATGTACATTTCAAATTCAATGGTGAGACCTACAGACAAATATATGGTGTCGCGATGGGTTCACTCCTGGGTCCCGCGTATTGGCAGACATTCTCCTCTCTAAATTGAAAAACGACTCACTAACACAAGAGGTCAATAAGTTTTCATCCTACTGCCGATATATGGATGATACATTTATCCTTTGCAATAACCGGACGAACTTCCTAGAAACACTCGAGCGTTTCAATACAGTTCACTCGTCCATAAAATTCACATAGGAGAAAGGAAATGGGGGTAGAATGGCCTTTCTAGATGCTCTACTTACAAGGAGGGGTCGCTAAAAAGAAACAAACAGGAAAATCACCTGGACGGGTCAATGTACAAACTTTCCTAGTTTTGTCCCTCTACAACACAAAAGGAGCCCTATTAAGACACTACATCATAGAATCAAGACTATATGCTCTGTGGATACGATTGAATATGAAACAAAGTCATTATACATAATCTGAAGGAAAATGGATATCCCGAGAAATTTATAAATAAAAACAGCCAGTAAAAGACAGCATAGAGAATGCCCACCTGTAAATAAAAAGCCTCTGTATATACGCTTACAATTCAGAGGCGATGCACCAAGTGAAATGCTAAGAATTAAGTTAAGCAGATCAATTCAAAGGACTTTTAATGCGGGTAAACTACAACTAATATTCTCCACACGACCAATAATCACTCCGAGGTTGAAAGATAATTTACCTAGACTAACCACCTCTTGTATCTATCAATTCAAATGCTCCTGTGGAGCAAGTTATATTGGCAGATGTTCTGGGAATTTGTACATCCGGGCTCGTGAGCACCTCTACGTGTGGTTAAGCAGAGGTAATCAGAACTGTTAACAGCTACATCTTAGACCATCTAGTTCAAGCAGAACATACAGCCAACATGGAGCAATCTTTAGCAATAATCGGTCGTGTTAACAGCAGTCTACCTGATTCCGTCAGACCGCGAATCCTACAGACGGCTGAATCAATTGCTATTCGAATCAAAGAACCAGAGCTTTTCATCCGAAAGATGTTCAGCCACTCCTTTTACCCTGGCCAACTAGTTAATTATTAACTTTATAATATGGTGACGTAATCTGATTCATGTTCATTTTATGTCCCGAACTTATTATTGCTATTGTTATTATCATTATCTTTACATTTGATAACCTTTTGAAGAATTTATTCAATATCCACCCCTAAATCCACTATCTGACCTCATTCATATTATTCTACATATTACGTAATCTCCCATTTTTATTCCATTACTTTCTCTCTCACCCTATGTTGACCATATTTATTCTGATCATTCATCGCACAATTTCACTTCACTTATAAACTGATTCAAGTTAATAACTTCATATTAGTCAGCCCCAACATTGACGATCTGATTTGATAACAAACAACAATTCTGAATTCACATATTACAATTTCCAAAGGATGCCTTAAATCTGGCCAATTTTATGGATTATTAATTTGAATTTATAATTGTAGAACCTGATGAGAAATTATTGAAAAGAATATTCTTCGTTCATACAATTGTGTTTTAATACTTTTTGTCGCATCCCGAGTATTCACTTTGAAGGAGCGGCTTACATTAAGTCACAAAACGTCAGGAATACAGTTTTTTACTCATCGGGATATAACGAAAGATATGTTTATTAAAGACAATTAACTGTTCGCAAATGTGCAGTAAGCTAATTATTATATGTGAAGTAGTTCTCATTCATTCTTCCTTAATGAGTGTTCAAAACTAACGATCGACAATAATGCATATAACCACGAGCAGAGTATTAGTAAAATGACTTTCAAATATCCAACGTACTCTAGTTAGATTAAAAAAACCTGATCATTATCATCACAATATCTTGAAACACTTCACAAATTGTAAAATTATTGGTAAAGTCGTGATGTAGCGTAATGCATGTTGAAATATCAGTCACCCAAGTTAATTTTTCGGTAAACAAAGATGTAAGAAATTATTGAAATGTACTAATCGTTAAAGATAACGCTATGCTTACTGGTTGATGTTGTTCTCAAAGATACTGAATTATACTCGTTTTTCCTGCTTTTCGTATTAAGTACATTATGCTGTACTAGGTTGTGTTGATGATGGCTGAATATGTGAAAGGGGGATTAAATGTCAGAATAAAATTAACGCGCTGTTTCATGCAGATAATGTAACAGTCGTCGATCCAACCACAATAGTCAAAATGGATTTTTAAGTCGCTGCTTTAAATTTTTTAAACCATGTGTAATGTTAGACTTGGCGTCTTAATACCCTTGAAGTTCCTACCACATTTAATGACGTGTCATTTATTGTTCCGAGTGTTTTGTTTTCTCAGTTGTTAACAGATTGTTGGAGAACACAAAAATACTGTAGTGGATACTGTTATTGTGTCGTTTACATACTGAGTAACAGAAGTTTATCCAAAACTACTAGGTTTTTTTATAGCACCACATAATATTTTGTTGGGTAACCTTAACCTAAGGGAAACATTTCGAATAAATATGTTGATAGCATTGATTGTAGTATGTACTCCAAAAAGAACCCAGTACTTCTTGTCAAGGAAGAGTCAATGACGATTAAAGAGCGGCTCGAACAAGATTCTATTCGTAATAGTAAAAATTGAATAGAACACAGATATAAGACATCGATTAATTGCAATATGTTACCCCAATGAAACATTCACATTCCTAAAGACAAACTGTTTTGAGTTAAAAGCTTGGCAGTGGTACACTTACGTCCACAAAAATAAAGCTTCAATATTATGAGTAGGACATGATGTGCTTCTAAACATGTATATCAACTGACCAGATATCGTTAAGATTTCTCCTTCACTATATTTTAGTTTCAAAGATCGATTTGTAAAGCCTGGTGAAACAAACATTATCATTTACTCCCAATATCGCCATGCTATGGAAAATTATTAAGCCGTTCATAAGGTTTGATAATCTGTGAAATCTAAGTCAGTAATAATGGTAATAAAGCTGAATACCCGGATTAAAATGTTCTCTTTGATTTTAAATAGCTCATTTACTATAACCAAATTGACTGGATTTTGCATATAGTTATGGATAAAAAGAGTAGATTCAAGGAGATTGGAAAAATTCTCGAAATGTGGCTATATATAAGGTTTTAAAATACATTGGTTAAAATTGCTCATAACAACAAAGATATCTAGAATAAAGTTTGAAGCTTGTTTTAAAATAGTGCAAAGTGAGAGATGAATACTTTTTATACACTGAAAATTGTATACAGGGAGCATAATTCATCGGAACAATCTTGAAAATGAGTCAAGTGCATGTACGATCGTTGAACTCCGGGATGAACTGAAAAAGAATAAGAAATGAGATTATAAAAGTGGTCATGTATATTGCTAAAATCGATATGCAAGAATTCAAGTCTAGGAACAAATTAAAGTATACAACAACGGCCTTCAGCAGCGCATTAAATATTATATATCTAATATCCATTCAATTATATGTAGGGAGTTGAAAGAATGCAGTTGGATTTGTTATTTAAGCCAACTAATTTAAATATCTTTGTTGAAAAGTTTTACTTGTCAAGCGCAAATTTGTCTTAAAGAAACGATAATCCAACCCGTATAAATACCTACTAATCATGTTTTTTTTTCATAATCAGAATTGCATCTCATCAGTCTATTAGATACTACCTAACTATCTGTTAACATTCAAAAACCTCTGGGTATCTGAATATTAGTATCACAGACGAGAATATTTTACAGAATAAAACGCTAATATATGAACTAGGAATCTTCTTTACAATAAATTCTCATGATAATCCATACTGGAGATTACAAAAGAAAACCAAATCTTTCTGAGCGTACATGAAATAGGTCAAAAACGTCAAGCCCGGCCGTTGTTGCTACCTTGAAGTGGTAGTCAGGCGTGCGCATCGTGATGAAGCAACCATACTATACTGGCTGGAACAACCGTTCCTCAAGGTCCTACCATGCCAGACAGGTCAGTTAAAGAGCGGTAAGACTAAAAGCAACAAACCGAAGGCGAAGTCGTATTGCTGACTATAAAGAGGTGTGACGGCAGTGAGGTGTTTCTTTCAGACAACCAGCATGACAGCGATGCTGCCTTCTCACAAGGAGGGGTGGGGTTAGGGAAGGTCGACCCTAAAAATGTCACACCTCACTTTATACCACGGATATCCGTCTACGGCGGTAAGGTCTCAACAAGTACGGAGCTAACACGAAAATTACCCACAAAAAGATCGTGTGTGACCGACCTCAAGCAGCTGTCCCTTGGGCACTGCAGTCACGCTCTCAGGTCAATAATGACCACCTCTAATCCAATTTCCTTTTCAGGTACCTCTAGAAGAACCCTTCTACGGTGTGGGCAACGGGGAAGTGATAAACACCCTCAGACCTCTAACATCACTCAGGACTACTGTATTCATAATCAACCTTCCTCTTGAATTCCTATTATTCCTCCTACATCGACTTTCAACTCTAAACTTCCTCTTTCGGCTTCCTCCTCAAGTGTCACCATAGCCAATGATTCTAGTGCTCAAAACACTGTCTCAGGTCTACTGAAACCTCGCTCCAAACTACACATTGCAGTCTTCAACGTACGCACACTATGTCAAATCGGTCAGCAGGCCTCCTTGTATAAAAACTCCAGAATCTCGTACCATCGATGTATGCTGTCTCCGAAACACGCATACGGGATCCTAGTGTAGTCATTCACTTGACCTCACCTCGGCAAAACGGAGAGCCGACGAGATACACCCTCCGTGTATCTGGCGACCCGATGGCTAGTCCTCGTGGACTGACAGGTGTAGGCATAGCGCTAAGCATGAGGACAGAACAAGCACTATAAACGTGGATCCCCGTTAACAGTGTCTAAGTGCTGTTAGGCTAAACGGCTCCCTAAGAACTCGAAAGGACAGGGACACACGTCGTTACCTTTTTGTCGTTTCTGCCTACGCTCCCACTGACTGCAGCTCGGATGAAGTGAAAGATGAATTTTACAGAAAGCTAAACGTTCAGACATAGTACTCGTAGCAGGCGACTTTAATGCCCAAGTAGGTTGCTTAAACCAAACAGAAAGGCATTTAGGTGGGTATTTTGGTATTCCGGCACAGCGAACAGATAATGGTGATCGTCTGCTGTAACTGTGCTCAGACAAACGTTTATTTTTAGCAAACACTAATTTTAAGCATAAGTAGAGACATCGTCTAACATGGCGACCCCCTGCACCAAGCCAACGATGGACTCAAATAGACCCATTAAAATTGAACCGAGTAAAGAGAAAACTAAAAGTAGGCTCTAGGAACAACTGAAAACGAGACGGACCCAAATGTTGCTTCGAAAGATATACAAGCAGCTGTGTGTTATGACTTGTGAACCTGTGTGCCCTGTTTATTGTATAACGATTGAAATTTTGTCGCAAATCTTTGATGAACAGTCATCCTTGTTTAATATTCGTTATCAAAGTCTCAATATAACAAAAGCAGGTGATGATGACTGGGTGAAGAATGCGGGTTTAGTAAACCGTGAATGTGAGCGCTTCAAACTATCAGCAATGACAGAAGATCAGTTTAAGTGTCTCGTGTTCGTGTGCAGCCTCTAATCTCCCGAAGATGCTGATATTAGAACCAGAATTCTGAGTAAAATTGAACAATGTCCGAATATAACACTACAGGAAGTAACCACAGAGTGCCAGAGATTGGTAAACTTAAAACATGACACTTCCATGGTCGAAAATAATGGCCAGTTGCCATACTTTCATGCTGTAAGCGGAAAGAAATATTCCTGTTTAAGAAAATTATCGCACACAGATAATCAGCCCTCATCACCATGTTGGTTATGTGGAGGTTGGCATTATAACAGGTTCTGCCCATATAAAGAACATTTTTGTAGCAAATGTCATCGGAAAGGCCATAAAGAAAACCGCTTCAGGAAAAGAACCTATAAATGGCATTCTTCGAAATCATACTCCAAGAAATACAGATATACTGCTCTAACCAACAAAATATTGGTATCACATAGTCGTGCAAAAATTTACCGCCAACGAAAGTATGTAAACCTAGATATAAATAAAAAGCGCGCCCGCCTGCAGCTCAACACTGATTCCGATATCACACTTATTAGTCGAAGAACCTGGAATCTTATCGGAAAACCACAGGTGCTCCCAACAACCCAGTTAGTTCATAGTGCATCTGGAGGGAAATTAAATATTGTTGGAGAGGTTTGTTGTACAGTTTCAAACGGAAACGCGAAGACGGATGCTACGTTATATCTCACAGAGAACCCAGGACTAAATTTGCTGGGTCTAGACCTGACAGAAACACTACAATTAGCAAATCACTCCATTAACCACATATGCAGCGCCATGAGAACCAATAGACCAGCGGAAAAGGATCTGAAGGGTGTTGTGTTGGAAAGACATAGTCAAGTGTTTACGGAAGAGCTGGGGGAGTGCAAAAGGTAAAAGTACTACTGATTCTTAAACCGGGAGTCACCCCCGTCTTCAGAACAAAACGTCCGGTACCCTATACAGCGCTGCCTATTGTTGAACAAGAATTAGAGCGTCGGCAAAGAAGTGAAATAATAGAACCAGTAAACTTTTCTGATTGGGCAGCACCAATAGTGATTGTCAAAAAGCCAAATAGAAGTATCCGGCTGTGCGCAGATTATTCGACTGGATTAAACGAAGCAATTGAAGCCCATCGATACCCTTTGCCGGTACCAGATGATTTATTTGCGAAACTGAATGGGGGTAAGTATTTTGCAAAATTAGACCTATCAGAAGCTTATCTACAGATTCCAGTAGCGGAAGAGTGTAAGCAATACTTGACAATAAACACTCATTAACGGTTGTTCTGATATAACAGACTTCCTTTTGGAGTAAAGACCACCCCTCCAATCTTCTAACAAGCTATGGATACTATGTTACAAGATATTCCTGGTACCGCAGCCTATCTCGATGACATACTGATCATGGGTACAGACTATGATGACTTAGAGAATAAGGTGGACACGGTTCTCAGGCGCATAGCAGATTATGGGTTCAGATTACGTGCTAAAAATGTCATTTTTACATGGAGCAAGTCCGTTATTTGTGATTCATAATCGATAAAAACGGAAGAAAACCTGATCCTGAAAACGTCGACGCTATCAAGTCCATGCCTCCACCGACGGATGTATCAACTTTACGTTCTTTCTTGGGAATGGTTAGTCATTATGGCGTTTTTCTTCCAGATCTGCATCGCCTTCGTGCTCCTCTTAATAGCTTATTGAAAAAGGATACCAAATGGTTCTGGTCAACTGAATGCCAGGAAGCATTCCTGAAACCAAAGCAGCTCATATCATCAAACCATCTACTTACACACTATGATCCAGATCTTCCAATTATAGTAGCAGCAATAATTTCACACACCTACCCTGACGGGTCTGAGAAGGCGATCGCCCACGCTGCATGATGGCAATCTATGACTGAAAGGAACTACAGTCAGATAGAGAAAGAAGCCCTCTCCATTATATTTGCTGTAAAAAAGTTCCTCAACATGCTGTTTAGCAGACATTTCACCTTACTAACAGACCATAAAGCGCTACTGATAGTTTTTGGATCCAAAAACGTTATCCCTGTATATACAGCAAACCGTCTACAGCGATGTGCAACTACACTGTTGGGCTATGATTTCAAGATAAAGTATCAACCGACAACAGATTTTGGACAGGTAGATGACCTCTCAAGATTGATTGGTTCGCATGCAAAACAAGAGGAGGTGCTTGTAGCTGCCATAGATGTTAAAGTTGAGGTTCACAAAGTTTTGGCAGACGCAGTTTCCGGACTCACGGTCACATTCGAGGCTGACTCAGGTGTTGCTTCGAAAGATATACAAGCAGCTGTGGAAACAGCAGTGACATCTATTAGTGATTTAAACCACAGGGTTACAAAGAACCAATGGATTTCTTCAAGGTCTATTGCACTGATGGGTTCCCGTAAACTCATCCCATCAGACTCTGAACACGATGAAGAGCGAAAACAAATCAGATCTAGATTAAGCAAAAGTATAAGGAACGACCGTGAGCAGTGGTGGGCAACGAAAGCAAAAGAGATGGAAAAGGCGGCGGCTATAGGGAACACAAGACAGCTCTACAGACTAATAAAAGAAACTGGAATTAATAAGTCAAGTGTAAGTCAGACTATTTCGGAAAAAGACGACACTCTCATCTGCTCCCAGTCCAGACGTTTAGAACGGTGGGCGGGACATTTTAGAGAACAGTTCAGCTGGCCTTTAGCTACTCTACAACTACCCTCCATTCCCAGACAGTGTGAATGGAACATTGTAGTAGGTCCCCCAACTCTAGCTGAAGTTCAAGAGGCTATGGTTAATCTGAAACGAGGAAGGGCAGCTGGTCCAGATGGATTAGCTCCAGAGGTCTTTAAGGATGGTGGTCCAATTTTAGCGATTAGGTTTACTAATATTTTAGCTAAAATCTGGGAGTTGGACGTTATCCCATCTGACTGGTCACAGTCACTTATCGTCCCAATATATAAGAGAGGGTCAAAATCATCCTGTGACAACCATAGAGGGATTAGTTTAACTAATATAGCATCTGAAATACTAGCCTCGATAATGATCGGACGCCTAACTAAGACTCGTGAACTGCAAACACGAGAAAATCAGGCTGGCTTCAGATCTGGTCGTGGTCGCATCGATCAAATAGTCACCATTCATCAGGTTCTCGAACACAGGCATACTTATCGGCGTCCGACAATAGTGGTCTTTCTTGACTTAGAAGCGGCATTTGACTCTGTGAAGCGAGAGGTGCTGTGGCAGTGTCTGTCATTGAATGGCGTACCTCAGAAATACGAAACAAGTGAGAAGCAGTTAATAAGATTTAAAAGGTTAGTTCGCACAGTAATGAAATGGGAAACATTCGCAATTTTTGCATACACGGACAATTACGATACATACTGATGTAAAATTAGCTAATACAGTGCATTTTATACGAGATAATTTAAGAAGGGAATATTAATTTTAGTTTGATAAAAAGTATTACCCTAACCGTTATTATATGTATGAACATAGACAACAATGAGTAGAAAAAAAACCAAAATTGTAGAACTAGGATTGAAAATTGTTTACACAAGTAGACTCACTTCATAACAACATCTTGAAAATCGGTAATTTGGTCTTGTGTAGCTTGGACTAAACCATCAGTACGCATAGTTGACAAATTGGCTACTGCGTTCTTCAGCCAGTTAAGAAACATCTATATATGAATACGGATATGAAAATATAGCATTGGAATTGGAAATACTGAATTGTGATCAACTTTTTTAGAAGTGACTTATTCCTGGTTGGTCTTTTGTTAAGATCGCATAATTTGAAAGATTTGACAAAATAAAAACCAAATGCATCGTTCAACAAGCAAAACCTAAGAAAGAAGATGCTAAAATAAGTCCGTTAACTATAAATTCATAATACTCAGTAAATTTCAACGGGGACATTTACCAATAGAAGAATTAAACAATTATACATGATGTTTGCCGATTATCTACCTTTCTTTTGTTTTTATTTAATTACGTTTTTCAATAATGTTAGCATTAGCTTTCGTGATTATCTACTATGCACGTGGGGATCAGAAATAACAAATCCAACAAACCCAAACTTGGATGAGGATGGGTAAATTAAATAGTTAGGTAGACTTAACGATGTTCAGATGTAGTCATATTGAAGCACTGAGTTCATTCTTCAAGACATCGTAGTAAACACGCATAATAAGGAGAAAAAAATTCGTTGGAGAAAACCAAGGAGTTCAAAATGACAAAAACTTTAAGGTACTGATTTAATTTGCAAAAACTATGCTACGTATCGAATAAGACAACACATAGAAGCTCTACCAAAGATAGATACTTACTTCTTGATTAATCATGACCTTAAGGTGATATAAAATATCCGCCATCTCGGGAAACCTTTCATCCATTAATCCAAGACAACATGCTTGCAATAATGCTGAAACTAACCGTTGTCCGCCGCAACAACTATTCATATTACTAGGATCAGTAGGCTGCGTAGGCCTGGAGTAAGTTAACCACACAATAACATTTTGAGCAGCTAGAGCTGACTGGCAAGAGGGAGTAGGAAGATGTCTACCAGACTCCAAAATCTGTACAACCTGCATTGGTGTCTCCTCACATGCCTCGTTCGTAAAAATGATAAGTTCGATGAAAAATCGAGCAGCTGCAGCTGATGCGCTGGTAGAAGCTGACGATGAACTCGATTCATCATTATTAGATGAGTTTGGATCCGGTGTATCATCACTAGACGAACCAGCACCAGGGCCGGTACAACACAGATTTAGAGAAGAGACAGCGGTATCGCAGAGTTCATTCAAATTGATCCTGCTACTGGTGAGAAAAACAGCTGCACAGTGTTGTACAAGTCGGGTGCATAACCGAAATAGATCTTCCACAGTATGCGGTTGTTGTATAAGGCCAGAACCAGAGATAGATTTCAGTGTTGGACCACTCAATGCCTGCAAAATGGTGGACATTTTAAACAAAGATTTAAAACTTCAAGACAGAATATTATATGCATTTTACAATCGATAGACACAAATAATACAGATAAATATACTCTTTAATAAATATCACATTCATTAGAAGCCTGTAAAACTATTGTAAACAAATTAAGTTGTGTCATACTTTACACATTACTAAACAATATCCAAGTACAGTGCAAAAGCGAATTCTTGAAGTCTCGTAAGAAATTCATAAACAAATTTGTTTGAAAATACTTTCAAGAGTAAGAATAATGACCAGAGTAATTCATCTTGATTAACTAAATAGATGAAGAAAATCAAATCAAATAAACAAACAAGCCATATTTCAATAAATAAACACACTAAATACCTTTGAAATAACTAGAAAGTAAACGAATGTTTGAGGATTTAACTCAAACTAAATCCCCTAGTACCTGGCGAATCTTATTCGAAGGATAAGAAAATATATTTCGACAAACAACTAATTTTACTCTGATAAAGACTCGTGTAACCTAGATGATTAACTAAGTAATCATAACGCAGCTATATGAAATAGGGTACGACAAAATTAAGGAAATATGTTTCTAAAATAACACAATAAAAATGGTAAATGTTGGACGAAGGGTTTTAATTCATTTTTATTGGTTGTTTGAGTCTGCTCATTGATGTTTATGACCGAAATCGATCAGTTTCTTTTGGCATATGTGCGTCCTGTGCGGGCTGCCTCAATGTTGCCATTAAGTCACAAGCATTATAAGTAGAGATGAACTGGAATCAGTAGCTAAGTAGATAATGCGAAAGCATTCGTAACGAACGGTACTGCGCACGAGTCTAGAAATGAAAATAAATCCTGACAAGTCATAAATAGGATGAAACGCACCTACTGGACCACACTGCTAGCCACTATTCATCCCTGCTTAACAGGGTTTTAACAAAATACATTTTAGTTATACATGACCGTGGAATTAATTAGCTACTTGTAAAATTTAGGTCTAAAATGTGCAGAAATCAGGAAATTTCCAACATCGATATTACATATGACGAAGACCGGATAACATCAGTAATACGTTCAAGTCAACATTTACAACCAAAGTTTTACATCTGGGAAATATTTATTATTTATTTTATTTATTTATTTGAACACATATATTGGTACAAGACAGGGCCAATATATATGAGCCACACAAAACAATGAGAATTCGGAAAGAAAGAAAAAAACGTAAGGAGTGTGAAAAAAAGAGAACAATAACGAAGAGGTTGGTGTAAGGTAGTGCAGTAATAATAATAGTAATAATGAGGGGGAAAAGTACAATCAGAAGAAATCTTTCAGTTAAGAAAGAAGCAACCACTTTTTATGAAGAGAGTAAAAGGTTACAGCAGGATCGCCACTGGCTTCTATTCTGAGCCACATCTGATAACGTCTCTAGACACTGTGTCGCACCATCTCTAGGACGCCAGCCAGGGAGTCGTGAAGGACCAACACAAGCCAGCCCTTTGCAACTTTCATACCACGACACCATGTCATACACTGACCACCTCTCCGCTTCTTCTAACCAGTCCCAGAGTCGACAAATAATGCACGACGAGGGATCCTCCGGGACAATATTCGTAGAACATGTCCAAGCTACCGAAGTCGATGTCTCAAGATGGTGACACCAATTGAATGATCGTCTCTATGCCTGAACACACGATGCCGAACCTCTGCATTACTAACATGATGTTGCCATTGGATGGCAGCAATCCTTGGGAGACAGTGATGATCGAACACAGAGAGTCGTCTAACATCCTGAACTCGAGGAGGCCAGGTTTCACAAGCATAGAGCAAAACTGATCTCACCGACGCGTTGTAGATCCGAACTTTTACAGCCAGACTGACATCACGAAGGCGTCAAAGACGGCCCAGATTGGCATAAGCCGCTCTGGCTCTCACTATACGTGCATTGATTTCATCACTCACGCCACCACCAGCACTTATGCAGCTACCCAGATACACGAACTTCTTGACTACTTCTATCTGCTCACCATCCACAGTGAGTACAGGATTAGAATCCTGCCAGTCTTGTAGAAGTACTTTGCACTTCGGAGGTGCAAAGCGCATACCATACCTACGGACACTGATTGCCAACTGATTAAGTGCGGATTGCATGCCTTGGGGATTATTTCACAGTAAGACAATATCATCCGCACACTCAAGGTCGAGAAGTCTTTCTCCAGGCAACAGATCCACACCACCATTACTTACATCCATCAGAGCTGTTTCCAGAATCTCATCGATAGCAAGGTTGAAGAGGAATGGTGAGATTGGGCAACCCTGCCTAACGCCACTGCTCGAATTGAACAATGGAGAAAGGTGGCTGTATGCCCTCACTCTACCTGAGGTGTTTGTATATAGGGCTTTTAGGATGTTAATAAACTTCTCAGGCACACCCTTCTTCAACAGATAATCCCAGAGAACAGTCCTGTTCAACGAATCGAAGGCAGTCCTGATGTCAAGAAACACCACAATTGTTGGCCTTTGATAAGTAAGGCGGTGTTCTAACGTTTGGCGGAGGGTGAAGATATGATCAATACATCCTTGACCAGAACGAAAACCAGCCTGCTTCTCGCGAGTCAATCTTTCTCGGGTTTTGAACAACCTACGAAGTATGACGGAAGCCAATAGTTTGGACGCACTCGGAAGTAGACTCAGCCCCTGATAGTTGTTCGAGAAACAACGTGAACCGTTTTCAAAGATAGGGACAACTATCAACTTGTTCCATGTTGTTGAAACACTCTCTAGCTCCCAAACCTTTGTAAACAACGTCGTCAATTTGTCAGTCAGAAAGTCACCACCATCTTTAAAAAGAGCTGGAAGTAAGTCATCTGGGCCCGGTGGTTTGTAGTGCTTTAAGAGTTGGAGTTCCTTGCGGACTTCCGCCTCATTTGGTGGATCAGTCGTCACCGGCCATGGAGGGCAGGACAGTCTGACCGATGTTGCCGTAGCAGCAGGCCAGTTGAACTGCCCTTCGAAGAATTCTGCCTATCATCCAAGACGTCGATGGATGTTATTTATTGGCATCCCGTCATCCTCACAGATTGTTTCGCTCACACCAGACTTCTTGCTGCCAGTGGCACGGATGTGTTGGAAGAGCTTCCGGTAATTACCAGATGCAGCTGCTGCTTCCAACTCATTAGCACGCTTCGACCACCAGGCTTCCCGGTCCTTACGCAAGCTTTGCCCAATTCCCTTACGTAACATCCTTTGTTTATGGTCAAACTTACGGTCACCTAGAGTAGACCGACGGGCTTCAATGAGTTGTAAGGAACCTGCAGAAACCCAGTGCTTATAAGCGGGACGTTTCGCGAACCCACAACTGACTGTACCCACCATTTTCATGGCGTCATGCAATTGCAACCAACGCTCATCTATACTTTACGGTGCAATGGTAGCTAGCCTACAAGCTAGCTCGGTTCGATACGTACTAGCAACAGAAGTTGCAACCAGCTTGCTAACATCAATCCGTTGGTGGCGATCACTTCGTTGGCCACTGAGAAGTAAGGCAAGATTGGCGCAGACCAAGGCATGATCAGAGTCCAGATAGGTACTCGAAAAGGAGCGGCAGTCTTGTACACAACCACGCCAGCGGTAGCTGATCGCGATGTGATCAATCTGAGTCCAGGCTTGAGATGCAGAGGGAGGACGCCAGGTGGCACATCGGCGATGACTGTGCCGAAAGTTAGTACTAGCCAGAAACAGGTTGTGGTCTGTTCACAGTTGCAGTAGACGGTCCCCGTTATCTGTCCTGCGACCAACAAGTCCCCATCGACCACCTAAACGACTGTCTTCTGTGCCTAGACGCCCGACCTGAGTATTCAAGTCTCCGGCTAGTACTACAATATCTGTCGAACGCAGATTCTGGAGAAGAACAGTTAATTGGTGGTAGGATTTATCCTTGATTGCATGACGAAAAGACATCGTTTCTCACGCCGATTTCTTCTCACTTTGATGGGACTTTCTAATCTAACAACACATAACCGACTGTTAATGGGGATCCAATCGATTAGTGCTGCCTCAGCTCTAGTGCTTAGTAAAACACCAACTCCAGCAAAACCAGACGAAGATACCACAGGGTCCCTGGATAAACGCACGTAAAACAATCTTTTTGAAGCGACAGATGGAGAGCTAATTTGTAGTACTTCACCAGAGTCTTGAATACGGGTCTCGGATAGACAGCAGACATCGATATTAAGACTTTCCAAAGACATAGCCAGCTCTATCTGTTGTCCAACCTGCATAAGTGTGCGAACGTTGAAGGCAGCCAACTTGAATGGTGCACGTGGTTTCAGAAAAACTACTTCAGTATTCGTATTTAGTGGTATCATACGATTTTCAATCAGGCAGTGACTCGAGAACGTTTAGATACAGACGAATTTCCACCAGACGAGCCGCTGTATAAGTATAAACGAGGGTGAATAATGTGGTAAATAATAATGATAATAATAATAATAATTTGATTGTTGTTCGAAGCGAGAAAAGTAGTTTCCATAAATATATAGAGTTCACATCATTTGCGTGTGGGCTGCGATACTGCCCGGGTGCCCAGACCGAAGCAGGTGGTTTTCTTAGGGGGCCACACCCCGAGCCTTTGACCTAAAGGTGGAGCATCGTAAGGAGATACAGTCCCATGGTAGCCAGTGACCAAAGATTGGTTCATACGCCATTTGTTCCCTCAGGATACTGGAGCCCATGTGCACCATTGGTTTTGGATCCGGTTAAAGCGCCGGACATTCGCTTTACGTCCTCTCATTTTCGTAAACAACACCCCCGCCACGAGGAGGCAGTGAGTAGGACTTCCCTGGCAGAGGCTATATACGTGTGGCCATGTGAGAGTATTTCGAGAGGGAGAGCGGACTCTCCCCACTCTCGGCCATACCAGGGCATTTGGGGGAAATATTTACAAATCTTCGCATAATGCAGTAGGTATGCAATATTCAGAACACGTATTGCGGTGATTATTTTCGAAATAGGAAATAATTTACCACTTTGGTTTGGTGAAAATGAGCAATTGTCAAGTGTAATAAATCTTTTTTTAGCATAAATGGATGTTACTACAAGGGCTTGAAACCCGAACATATGACTGGGATACAAAACTAAAGTTTATACAAACTGATCGTTGGATTTAGTTGTACTGAAACTGGATAAGAAAAATTCAGATATTTGTAATTTATTCCTAAACACTATTATGCTTGTGTTAATTTTTTTTACAATGCTCATTTATCTAATGAACTATTTTACGACACCTTATTTTGATTGTTTGTGCCGAAATTGAAGTTGCCAATGAAAATTATGTAAATTTTTTTCAATTTAAAAATTACCTCATACACGTTAACCAAACCAACTCTGCAATCTAATTGTTCTCCGAATTCATCAACTAGCACGCTTGTTAAATAGAGAAAACTTGAATGTTGTCCTCCAGTCGTGTAAGACAGTACAATCTGAAATTTGAGAAAAAACTGTTCGAAACAACATTGCTTTGATACATAAAAGTATGAAATTAAACCAGAAAAACAAACTTAGTTTTTATAGCAGCTTAAAGTCGACATTTTAACAGGACTCAAAAATGGATTCGAACAATTATTGAAAAGATTCATCACAGACGAAAATCTAATCTTACGTAATATGTTAACATGGTAATTTACTCAAAGATCAAGTAAAGCGTGAAAACAACCCATTTTTCAATTTTTGAATGAAGCCTCAAAATGTCATGCTCGATACAGCTGCTAACAATATGATCATGATGAGTAGGGTTTAACCAGCCCATACAAATAATACAACTTTTAGACAGTGAACTGGTATTATAGTGATCATGTTTCTAATTTAACTTGTATTAATAAAGTGAAATGATTCTTACTTACATGTGCAGAGAAGCATTCATGATTTAATTTTGTAACTTACAAATCGTACTACAGTATATGAAGTGGGTTTGATTAGCCTAATTTATATAAAATATATGGAAAGTTGTTTTCCTTAGATCTCTAATAATATATGGTAATCAGAACTATGATAATTGAACTAAAGGTTGAAAAATCAGAAAATAATCTGATTTGGAAGCAGACATATAGCTAGCTGAATGAAGTAAACAAAAGGTAAGAATAAATGTTAACATAAAAACACTATTACAGAGGCGATAAAAAAAATAGTGATTTATCAATGTTTGGATTTTTTATGGACTACCAGATGTAGGTAAAGAAATGTAGTAATGAAAATAATGATGATATTTGCTTAATTCAATATTACGTTGTGAAGTGATGGTTCAGACATTCGATTTTTAGCCAGTAAACGGCTGGTTTGAAACCTACGCCACATTCTTTAGTCTGGGGAACCGAAAAGGGCAAACTATCAGTCCGACCTAGAGTGTGACTTGAAGTGAAGTATCAGAATCTGAACCAATTATTCTGAATAAATATACGTAATTTCACATGTTCATTACGACATCAAATTACAAATAATCTTAATACAAGCTTTCCAAAACTTTTATGACTATGACGAACTCCTGGAATCTCTTTAGGATTACTGAGGTAAACGAGCGTTGAATATAAGTATCGTATTAATAATTCCGCCATAAAAACAACTATCACAGTGAACTGATTAATAAACTTAAAATCTGTAAATTAAATGATACATTACAGTTACGGTTACAGTAAGTACAACTTGTTAGACACAATTAAAGCATAAGATATCAACGTCAGAAGAGATGTGGCTACATTTTGATTATGAATAATAATAATAATACCAGTGGCTTGTGACATCCCACTTGAACATAAGTAGTCGTAATTTTGTGAAAGGTTCAAATCCATGCTAGAAAATTCAACAGAAAAATACCTGACCATCCTGATGAGGGATGTAAACTCTAATGTTGGGACTGAAAACACCAGGGAAGAAACCATCGTGGGGAGACATGGACTAGGATAAAGAAGGGAGAATGTTGGAAGACTGACAAATCTATGTACTTTCAGCAGCATGGTCATAGGTAACGGCATTTCCTCAATAAACGCATACGCAAAGCCACTCGCGTCTAAACAATCCACCACACAGTACACCAAATTAATCACATATGTATAAATAAGGTTCACATGAGGGACAATAATAAAAAGAGATGATATAACTTCATACTATAGGAAATACATGTGGATTTACTAGAAGAAACCACGAAGCAGAAAAAGTGAAAGAGAATAAAAGAAATAGTAGCTTCAACATCCCAGATCTCAAGAAGCACTAGGATAAACAACGGATCTCTGTAGACAGTTTGGGGGAGATTCAGGTAATGTAGGTCAACAAGGCAACAATCGAACAAGACCGGAGAAAGTCAAGGCACAGACCAAATGCACAGAAGCGAACAAGTGAGTGAAGAAAAGCACCAAGTTGAAATATGTAAAAGACCTAGCGACTACAATAAAACAAACTGGAAGGAAGGGACATGTCAAGCAACCAAATGATACAATCAAGAAGCTAGTGAGGAAATGTAGTAGACCAGAGCAACCAGTCAGGAAAAAACAAGAAAAATCAGTCACTGAGGTTAGAGAGAAGCAGATCAGACTAGTAGAGCACTTTGAAGAGTTCCTGAATAGACCAGTCCCGTTCAACCGATAACACAAAGGCCTCCCTACAAATGTTACTGTGCCAGAAATAAAAAACATCAATGCCATCAGACAAATCAAGAATGCCAAAGTAGAGGGACCAGAAAGCATAGCGGTGGAAGCACTGAAGTCAGGTATAGAGGCAACTGCAACATATTCTCTTCAGGAAGCTCTGAACGGGAGGACAAGTTCAAGAGGGATACCCTATCAAAACATTGAAGAAAGGAGATCTTAGTAAGTGACTGTCAGTTCCAGGCAAAGTTATCAACAGAGTGTTACTGGACCAAACGAAAGTTTCAGTAGACACCATACTCTCAAATCAACAAATCGGATTTCGTGAGGATATATCATGCACCGACCAAATTGCGGCACAGGACATCGTTGCTGAGCAATCAGCCAAATGAAATTTATCGCCATACAACAACTACCATAATTGTGAAATAGCATGCGACAGTTCAAACTGGAAAGACTTGAGGAATCTTACTTGAAACTATAGAGTGCCGGATGATATGGATAACTTAGTCCTCCTTAAGATTAGATTGCCCGAGAACATCATCACGATCATACGGAGCTTCTATGACGGACTTTATTACAAAGACATGTATGGAGGCACCTCACAGATGAATTCCAAGTGAAGACTGATGGCAGACACATTGCCCACTCCCGTCTTCGAAGATCTTGGGCTCCGAACAGCTGCAACCCAAGACTAAAGTCAGACAACGTTAGAATGGTTCGATTGTACTGGACCTGAATGTCGGGGACTACCACAACCATCATCGAAAAATTACAGATCTTCATAAGCAACTTTCTACGCAATATATTCCATGTACTTTGCTCGGAGATCGTCACCGATAATTGAATATGGCAGAGAACAAACAAGATAATAGTTGAGGTGGGAAATAAGGAAAATATTCTGTAGGTGGATAAGACATATGTTGCGGCAATCATCAAACCGTGTCACAAGTCAAGCCCTAGCTTGGAGTACTTAAAGCAAATGAAAAGAGGTCAGTTAGTCGGTCAGCTGCAACGTAGAATAAGGCACATATATGCATCGGTTCACGTTGCCATATCTCAATAGCTCAACAAAATGAAAACCGAATTCATAAAGTAGTGGTAATATATAAAAGAAAAATTGCATATAAGTATATAGTACAGGAAGAAAGATTTAGTATGTAGAAAGAAAGATATGAAGCGATTTTAATCTCATAGTTTAAAGGAAGATAGAGAGTATATACACCTACGCCATTGTGATCGATTCTGAGCCATGTCACCCACAGTCTCCAACCATTGGTTACGATAGTCACGCGGACCCCAACCAAGTAGTCTGTTTCTACCAACATGGCTCAGAACAGAAGTTAGTGGCTTCAAGCACTGATGCCACGTTTTGGTTTGACCGCCCCTAACTTTCTTCCAACCATCCCCAACATCGGTTAGCATTGCGCGTCGTGGTAATCGGTGTTCAGGCATACGCAACACGTGGCCCACGCGTCTCAGTCGATAAATATTCACAACCTCATCAACCGATTTACCATCATTCCCTAATACCCAGTGTTTAACTTCACTATTACTTACCCGGTCATCCCAGCAGATGTGGGTAATATTTCTAAGGCATCTGTGGTCAAACACTTGTAGCCTATGAGTATCTTCAAATCTTAATGGCCATATTTCGCAGCCGTAAAGTAGAACAGAACGAACTGCCGCGCAGCATACTCCTCCTTTTATTGATAGACGGATATCTCGCCTTCGCCATAGGTGATATAAGTTGGCAAAAGCCAAACGAGTTTTCTGAATCCGTGCACAGCTTTCGTCAAACACCAACCCATTAGGGTTGATCAGACTTTCAAGATAAGTGAAGTTAACAACGCGTTCGACTACTCCTTAGTTCAGGTGTTGACGCATACCAGTCCTGAAGCAACAACTTGCAATTAGAGAGGGAGAAGCGCATTCCAAACATTCTGGCATTGTTGCTTAGTGCTACCAAAAGACTCTGCATTTTGTCAGCGTCTTCACCAAACAGGACTATGTCATCTGCGTATTCTAAGTCAATAAGTGGACCTCCTGGTAGGAGATCAATGCCCAAGAATTCAGTCGACGAGAAAGTTATTTCCATCAGCAGATCTATGATGAAGTTAAACAGAAATGGAGAAAGTGGACAGCTTTGACAGACACTTAAAGTTGCAAAAGCAGATGACAGTTCGCCATAAGCTCTGACTCGACTAGTAGTGTTCGAGTGAAGAGTCTTCACAAGGTTTATGTAATTCTGAGGTACGCCATTCAATGACAGACACTGCCACAGCACCTCTCGCTTCACAGAGTCAAATGCCGCTTCTAAGTCAAGAAAGACCATCATTGTCGGACGCCGATAAGTATGCCTGTGTTCGAGAACCTGATGAATGGTGACTATTTGATCGATGCGACCACGACCAGATCTGAAGCCAGCCTGATTTTCTCGTGTTTGCAGTTCACGAGTCTTAGTTAGGCGTCCGATCATTATCGAGGCTAGTATTTCAGATGCTATATTAGTTAAACTAATCCCTCTATGGTTGTCACAGGATGATTTTGACCCTCTCTTATATATTGGGACGATAAGTGACTGTGACCAGTCAGATGGGATAACGTCCAACTCCCAGATTTTAGCTAAAATATTAGTAAACCTAATCGCTAAAATTGGACCACCATCCTTAAAGACCTCTGGAGCTAATCCATCTGGACCAGCTGCCCTTCCTCGTTTCAGATTAACCATAGCCTCTTGAACTTCAGCTAGAGTTGGGGGACCTACTACAATGTTCCATTCACACTGTCTGGGAATGGAGGGTAGTTGTAGAGTAGCTAAAGGCCAGCTGAACTGTTCTCTAAAATGTCCCGCCCACCGTTCTAAACGTCTGGACTGGGAGCAGATGAGAGTGTCGTCTTTTTCCGAAATAGTCTGACTTACACTTGACTTATTAATTCCAGTTTCTTTTATTAGTCTGTAGAGCTGTCTTGTGTTCCCTATAGCCGCCGCCTTTTCCATCTCTTTTGCTTTCGTTGCCCACCACTGCTCACGGTCGTTCCTTATACTTTTGCTTAATCTAGATCTGATTTGTTTTCGCTCTTCATCGTGTTCAGAGTCTGATGGGATGAGTTTACGGGAACCCATCAGTGCAATAGACCTTGAAGAAATCCATTGGTTCTTTGTAACCCTGTGGTTTAAATCACTAATAGATGTCACTGCTGTTTCCACAGCTGCTTGTATATCTTTCGAAGCAACACCTGAGTCAGCCTCGAATGTGACCGTGAGTCCGGAAACTGCGTCTGCCAAAACTTTGTGAACCTCAACTTTAACATCTATGGCAGCTACAAGCACCTCCTCTTGTTTTGCATGCGAACCAATCAATCTTGAGAGGTCATCTACCTGTCCAAAATCTGTTGTCGGTTGATACTTTATCTTGAAATCATAGCCCAACAGTGTAGTTGCACATCGCTGTAGACGGTTTGCTGTATATACAGGGATAACGTTTTTGGATCCAAAAACTATCAGTAGCGCTTTATGGTCTGTTAGTAAGGTGAAATGTCTGCTAAACAGCATGTTGAGGAACTTTTTTTACAGCAGATATAATGGAGAGTGCTTCCTTCACTATTTTGACAGCGTGGATAGGAGGACTTTGTGGAAACTTCTTCGACACTATGGTGTACCTGAGAAGATCGTCAACATCATCCAAAATTCATACGACAGACCACAGTGCAAAGTTGTGCATGGTGGACAGCTGAAAGACGCATTCCAATAGAGGACCTGTGTCAGACAAGGCTGCTTACTCTCTCTTCCTCTTTCTTCTGGTGGTCGATTGGATTATGAAGACCTCGACATCTGAGGGAAAGCATGTAATACAATGGACAGCTCAGAATCACCTAGAAGATCTGGACTTAGTAGATGACCTGGCCCTTCTATCCCATACACACCAACAAATTCAGATAAAGACAACTAGTGTAACAGCAGCCTCTGCATCAGTAGGCCTCAGCATACACAAGGGAAAAACCAAGATCATCAAATACAGCACGGAAAACACCAACACAATCACACTTGATGGAAAAGATCTAGAAGACGTGGGATCTTTCACGTCGCCCTCAAATGCACTGGTACGGCCGAAAGTGGGGAGAGTCCACTCTCCCTCTCGAAATACACTCACATGGTGACGGGTACGCCAACATTATAAGGGAATTCCTACTCACTAACTTCTCGCGGCGGGGGTGTAGTTTACGACTGAGAGGACAAAAAGAGAACATCCGGCGCTTCAACCGGATTGGTTGGTACGGAAGATCCACTCGGTAGAGATGAAAAACCCTGATTCTAAACCAATGGTGCACATGGGCTCCAGGATCCTGAGGGAACAAATTGCAAATGAACCAAACGTTGGACACCAGCTGCCATGTGACTGTATCTCCTGACGTTGCTCCACTGCCTTGTGGTCAGAGACTCCGCGTGTGGCCTCCTAAGAAAACCACCTGTTTCGATCTGGCCACTCGGGCAGTATCACAGCCCACACACAAATAAAATGAAATGACGATAATTACTGAAAATACTACTCTCGCCTCAATTAAAATTCAGACAGTTCACATTCATTTTTATTTTTTATATACTACGACACTTATCAACTCTCTTTTATTCCCACTTTATGTATCGCGATTTTTCAACTCATACAAAAGCTTGCCTATGGTGGAAACTCTGTTCTATCTAAACGATCTCGAGTCACTGACTGGTCGAAAGTTGAATCCTACCATCAACCACAAATACTGACCCAATGTTTCTTAAATCGAATAAATACCATTCAAAATGGCCTTTTTCAACGTTTGCACACTAATGCGAATCGGACAACAGATAGGGTTGACTGTGTCTTTAGAAAGTCCCAACATTTATGTCTGTTGTCTATCCAGGACTTTTATTCAACACTAGTGAAGTACTACAAATTAGCTCTCCATTTATCGCTTCGAAAAGCCTGTTTTACGTGCGTTTATCCGGGGACCCTGTGGCATCTTTGTCTGGTTATGCGGACGTTGGTGTCGCACTAAGCACTAGAGCTGAGGCAGAACTAATACATTGGATCCCCATTAACAGTCGGTTATGTGTTGTTAGATTAGAAAGCTCCATCAAAGTAAGAAGAATTCGGTGTAAGAAAAGATGTTTTTCCTTAGTCTCTGCCTATCCCACGACAGATTACAACCGGAATGCAATCAAGGGTGAACTTTAACACCAGTTAAATGATCTCCGGAAAGCTCCTTCGACAAATATTGTAGTGCTAGACGGAGACTTGAATGTACAAGTCTGGTGTCTAGACACAAAAGAGAGTCGTTTAGGTGGCCGATGGAAACTTGTTGGTCACAGGTTAGATAACAGGGACCGTCTACTGCAACTCTGCGCAGATCACAACCTGTTTCTAGCTAACACTAACTACCGGCACAGTCATCGCCGATGTGCCACATGGCGCCCTCGCTCTACATCTCAAGCCTGGACTCTGATCACATCACGATCACCTACCTTTGGTGTGGCTCTGGCCAACAAATCAATTGTCCTAAACGAATCGATGTCAGCAAATTGGTTACAACTTTTGTTGCAACTAAATATCAAACCGAGCTAGGTTCAAGGCTAGCTAACATCCCACCGGAAAGTATAAATGAGCATTAGTTGCAATTGCACGACACCATGAAAATTGAGAGTAAAGTCACTTGCAGCTTCGTGAAACGTCCAGTTCATAAGCATAAGGTTTCTACAGGGTCCTTACAACCCATTGAAGCACATCAGTCTACTCTGGGTGACCTCGAGTTTGGCCACAAACGAAGATTGTCACGCAATGAAGATGTGCATAGCTTGCATAAGAACCGAGAAACCTGGTGGTCGGAGCGTGCCAATGGGTTGGAAGCAGCAGCTGCATCTGGTAACTACCGGAAGGTCTTTCAACTCATCCAAGTCACTGCCAGCAAGACGTCTGGTGTGAGTTAAACAATCTGTAAAGATGACAGAGTGTCAATCACCAACATCTACTGACATCTTGGACGATGGGCAGATTTTTTTGAGAGGCAGCTCGACTGATCTGGTGACGACCGTCTAATTAAGTAACTGACTGAGTTGTTTAAAAATTTCTAGTAGTTACAAGGTGTTCCAATATCGTGGAATGAGTCGATAGTCGTCTTTATCTTTAATAGGAGTTCACGTAATCTATGCAACAACTATTGGGGGATAAGTCTACTTCCGATTGTGTCCAAACTATTGGCTTCCGTCATACTTCGCAGATTGTTTAAAACAGAAAAGATCGACTCGCAAAGAGCAGGTTGGTTTTCGTTCTTATCGAGGCTGTTTTGATCATCTTTTCACCCACCATCAAATATCAGAGCACCGTCATACTTATTACAAGCCAACAGTCCTAGTGTCTCTTGACATCAAGGCCACCATCAATTTGTTAGACAGGACTGTTCTACGGGATTGTCTGTTGAAGAAGGGTGTGCCTGAGAAGTATATTAACATCTTAAAAGCCTCATATACAAACACCTCAGGAAGAGTGAAGGCATACGACCACCTGGGTAGCTGCATAAGTGCTGGTGGTAGCGTGAGAGATGAGATCGATTCACGTATAATGAAAGCCAGGGCAGCTTAAGCCAATCTGGACCATCTTTGACGCCTTCGTGATGTCAGTCTGGCTGTAAAAGTTCGGATCTACAACGCGTCGGTGAGATCAGTTTTGCTCTATGCTTGTGAAACCTGGCCTCCTCGAGTTCAGGATGTTAGACGACTCTCTGTGTTCGATCATCACTGTCTCCCAAGGATTGCTGCCATCCAATGGCAACATCATGTTAGTAATGCAGAGGTTCGGCATCGTGTGTTCAGGCACAGAGACGATCATTCAATTGGTGTCACCATCTTGAGACATCGACTTCGGTAGCTTGGACATGTTCTACGAATATTGTCCCGGAGGATCCCTCGCCGTGCATTATTTGTCGACTCTGGGACTGGTGGCAAAAAGCGGAGGTGGTCGGTAGACGACATGGAGTAGTAGTATGAAAGAGAGTTGTGCAGGACTGACTTCTGTTGGTCATTCATGACTCTCTGGTTAGGATCTCAGAGATGGTGTAACACAGTGACTAGAAATGTTATCAGAAATGGCTCAGAATAGAAGCCTGTGGCGATCCTGCTGTAACTCTCTCTTATTTTCTTCTTTAACTTAAAGAATTCCTTCTGGTTATAGTTTTACCAACCGAACAGTTTTTCCCATCTATTAATATTATTATTTCACTCTCATGCACTAATTCCTGTTGGTTGTTGTTCTTCTTCACTTCATTATGCATACTTCACAATCGCTATCCCTCTAGTGTGGCGCATAAATATTTGGCGCTCCCATGTACCAACGTGTGTGTTGAAATAAATAAACGATAACCAACAAAATTTTACCTTAATGTGAAATGAATTTTACATTTTGATCCATTTAGCTGTCAGATGTTATAGTAGCAATAACATGACAGAATAATTTATCATCAGTAATTGAACTTACTTTTTCAGCAAGCTCCGGGAGAAGATCTCGTAAGTGCACAGAAAAACAACGCACAATGAAACGTATGAGACGACAAACATGCTCCATTGGACGCATGCGCGAGGCATAATGTGTGAGTACACGGGTAACAACTGGCCATATTACTTCTCTTACTAACTGCAAGCATTCAGCTAAACAATTCTGAGCAGAAAGCACCAACTCGGACGTAGTACGATCAACAGCGTTGCGTTCCCTTGTGTCCCACTGACTAGAACTTGGGTTTCCCAAACGTCGTAAAAGGCAATTGAAAGTACGAAACAGTGCTGCTAGGTAATCAAGCCATACACGGGGATCACTGAGAGTATCTGAACCTTCGATAGGGACATTACCATCCATCAGCTAAAAACGATAGACAAGAAAAGAGTGAAGGATCATATGAACGTATAGAAATTGAGACCAACGAACTGACTGAACATTGGTAAAATAAAATTTGAACAAACATCCACTAAGTACAACGAACACAAGCAAATTGCAACAGGAGCCAGCTATCCTATAGCACAAAACTGGGTATCTAAAGTATTGGTTGTAGATATACTTAGTGTTTACAAACAGTAAACATCCATGTGTATTGACATAAATTGAAGCCGAATTCACTGATGGATATCAGACAACATATTGAAAGTGACCATTTCTTCCAAAAAGATGAATAGGATGAAACGTTTTAGCAATGACTTGATAGATAATCTTAATTAGTAATAGTAAAGTAGAGTTTTAGCATATTCACTATTAGATTTATACTATTTAAGATACAGAGAATGAAAGTGGACATTAATTCATGTGCACACTAGATCAAAAACGGGATTATAGTAAGCCCATTCAACCACTTCATTATTTGTTTACTCACTGTAATCTAGACATTTAATCCACTATGTAAAATTATGTGTGAGTCTGATTGAGCGCATGTCTGCACGTCAATATTCATATGTTCTCCTATCGGTTGTAACACACACAAACTCACTGGTTTCTCTATGTGCTTCCATTCTGAGCGCTTACGGGTTTTTAACAATGATTAACAATAAACTATCTCTACAACAGGTGTTCTGGCATTTGAATAATACTACTACCCGACTGCTACCTTGACGTGGTGGTCGGGCGCGCCTATTGTGGTGACCCAACCGAGCTATATTGGCTGGAATATATGTTCCTATAGGTTCTACCATGCCAGTCAGGTCGATTGGAGAACGGTAAGACCAAAAGCAGCAACTCAAGGTCTGAGGGCGAAGTCGTATTGCTGACTGTAGAGGGGTGTGACAGCAGTAAGATGTTTCACATGGACAACCAACATCTACAGCGATGCTGCCTTCTCACAAGGAAGGAAGTGGTTAGTAAAGGTCGACCCTAAAAATGTCACACCTCACCTTACCTCACGGATTTCTGTCTCCGGCGGTAAGGCCTTTTGAAGAACGGAGCTAACACCTTAAAAACCTTCCACAAAAAGGCCGTGCGTCTCCGAAACGCACATACAGCATCCAAGTAGCGTCATTCATTTGACCTCACCATATCAAAATACAGAACCAACTCGATTCACGCTTCGTGTATCTGGAAACCCTGATGCTGCTTCCCGTGGCCTCGCTGGCGTAGGTATAGCATTGAGTCCTAGGGCAGAACTAGCTCTCTTAAACTGGATCCCAGTAGACAGTCGTTTGTGCGCTGTCCGACTAAACGGAACAGTAAGGACTCGGAAAGATAGGGAGACTCTTCGTCGTCTCTGTCTACTTTCCAACTGACTGCAGCTCAGATGATGTAAAAGATGAGTTTTACAGAAAGCTTTCCGACCTTCTCTGAAAAGCTAGGCGCCCTGATGTAGTAATAGTGGCCGGTGACTTTAATGCTCAAGTAGGTGAACTAAGCGATAGGGAAAGACACCTAGGTGGATCTTATGGTGTCGTGGCTCAAAGAACAGATAATGGCGACCGTCTGTTGCAGCTATGCTTAGATAACCGCCTGTTTCTTGCAAATACTAACTTCAAGCATAAGGAAAATCATCTTTTGACATGGCGACCCCCTAATTCGTCCCAACGTTGGACCCAAATAGATCGCATCGCTATCAGCCACCGATGGAGGGACTCGATAGAAGATTGTCGCTCATTCTGGAGCACATGCTTAGATTCAGAACGAGTGCGTATCTGTCTACGTCCTACTGGGCGTAGAAAAGACGCTTCAAGGAAACCTCTTAATGTCCTACTTATTGATAACCAAGCTAAGAATACGTTTCAGGAACAACAAGAAAAACAATTAGGCAGCCATGTAGGTGATGCCCACCCCGAGGTAGTGTGGAATGATATCCGAAAAGCTGTGGAAACAGCAGTGATATTTGCTAGTAAGGTAAACCATAAGGTTAGGGAGAAACACTGAATCTCAGCAGCATCTACCTCACTGATAGATGCTAGAAAACTCATCTTGTCTGGCTCTGAACATAACAAAGAGAGGAGTCAGCTTAAGCGGAGGCTGATAGGAAGCCTACGTAATGATCGCAAACAGTGGTGGGTAGCGAAAGCAAGAGAGATGGAAAAAGCAGTAGCAATAGGTAACAGCAGACAATTGTTCAGACTTGTTAAGGAAACTGGTATTAGGAACCCAAGTGTTAGCGAAACAATCTCAGAGAAAGATGGACATATTATTCATTCTCAATCCAGGAGATTGGATCGATGGGCAGAACACTTTAGGGATCAGTTCAACTGACCTTCAGACACACTTCGGTTTCCCACGATCTCCAGTCAACCTGAACGGCAAGTTAATGTAGGTCCTCCAACTCTTTACGAAGTTGAAAAAGCTATAGGAAATCTGAAGGGTGGTAGAGCAGCAGGCCCTGACAGGTTTACCCCTGAGATTCTTAAGGATGGTGGTCCAGTATTAGCAGTGAGATTAACTGAGGTCTTAGGTAGAATTTGGGAAATGGACGTAATCCCATCTGACTGGTCTCAATCACTGATTGTGCCAGTCTATAAGAAAGGAAAAAAGTCCTCTTGTGACAATCACAGAGGAATCAGTTTAACTAATATAGTGTCTAAAATATTAGCTTCAATAATACTTCGACGCCTAACTAAAGCTCGTGAAGAGCAAACTAGAGTAAACCAGGCTGGTTTAAGACCTGGACGTTGTTGTATAGACCAGATATTCACACTACGTCAGGTTCTGGAACATAGACACACATTCAGACGCCCCGCAAACGTAGTATTTCTCGACCTTAAGACGTCATTTGACTCTATTGATCGTGAGGTTCTATGGCAGTGTTTGCCACTGAAAGGAGTACCAAAGAAGTACACTAACCTTATAAAGGCTCTCTACTCGAACACTGGTCGAGTGAGAGCTTGTGGCGAACTGTCATTAGAATTGATTGCCTCAAGTGGTGTTTGTTAGGGCTGTTCACTCGCTCCATTCTTGTTCAACTTTGTCATTGACGTGCTTCTAGAGATAACACTTTGCTTATCTAAATTTCCAGGGGTTGAACTTCTACCATGAGATTGACTTGTTGACTTGAAATATGCTGATGACATAGTTCTATTTGGTGAAGACGCTGACAAAATGCAGAGTCTTCTGACCACTGTAAGCAACAATGCAAGCATGTTCGAGATGCGATTATCCTCCTCGAAATACAAAATGTTACTTCAGGATTGGGTGGCATCAACACTTGAACTAATGATAGGGAATGAAGTAATTGAGTGTGTCGACCGCTTCACTTATCTTGGGAGTCTCATCAGCCCTTGTAGTCTGGTGTGTGACGAAATCTCAGCACGGATACAGTAGGCCCGAGTAGCTTTTGCCAACTTGCGTCATTTATGGCGTAGGCGAGATATCCATCTATCAACCAAAGAACGTGTTTACTGTGCAGCAGTTCGTTCCGTCCTACTTTATGGCAGTGAAACATGGCCGGTAAGAGTAGAAGATATTCGCAGGTTACTAGTAATCGATCATAGGTGTCTTCGAAACATCGCTCGTATATTCTGGGACCATTTATTTATTTATTTGGTACAAGAGGGCACCAAATATACATGCGCCACATAAAACAATGGGGATTTGAAGAGAAGGAAAAAAGGTGAGGAGCGTTAAGAAAATAAAATAATTAAAAAAACAATAACGAACAGAATAAGGTAAGGTAGCGTAAGAATAATAATAATCGGGGAAACGAAAAGGTACAATCAGAAGAAATCTTTCAGTTAAGAAAGAAGCAACCACTTTTTATGAAGAGAGTAAAAGGTTACAGCAGGATCGCCACTGGCTTCTATTCTGAGCCATATCTGATAACGTCTCTAGACACTGTGTTGCACCATCTCTAGGACGCCAGCCAGGGAGTCGTGAAGGACCAACACAAGCCAGCCCTTTGCAACTTTCATACCACGACACCATGTCATACACTGACCACCTCTCCGCTTCTTCTAACCAGTCCCAGAGTCGACAAATAATGCACGACGAGGGATCCTCCGGGACAATATTCGTAGAACATGTCCAAGCTACCGAAGTCGATGTCTCAAGATGGTGACACCAATTGAATGATCGTCTCTGTGCCTGAACACACGATGCCGAACCTCTGCATTACTAACATGATGTTGCCATTGGATGGCAGCAATCCTTGGGAGACAGTGATGATCGAACACAGAGAGTCGTCTAACATCCTGAACTCGAGGAGGCCAGGTTTCACAAGCATAGAGCAAAACTGATCTCACCGACGCGTTGTAGATCCGAACTTTTACAGCCAGACTGACATCACGAAGGCGTCAAAGACGGCCCAGATTGGCATAAGCCGCTCTGGCTCTCACTATACGTGCATTGATTTCATCACTCACGCCACCACCAGCACTTATGCAGCTACCCAGATACACGAACTTCTTGACTACTTCTATCTGCTCACCATCCACAGTGAGTACAGGATTAGAATCCTGCCAGTCTTGTAGAAGTACTTTGCACTTCGGAGGTGCAAAGCGCATACCATACCTACGGACACTGATTGCCAACTGATTAAGTGCGGATTGCATGCCTTGGGGATTATTTCACAGTAAGACAATATCATCCGCATACTCAAGGTCGAGAAGTCGAAAAATAATTATGCAGAGTGGGAATAGAAGAGGGTGAATAAATGACGTAGTAAATAATAATAATAATAATAATAATAATAATAATAATAATAATAATAATAATAATAATCATGTGAGTCATTTGATTGTTATTCGGAGCAAGAAGAATATTTTCCATAAGTAGACAGTTCATTTTTTGTGTGTGGCCTGTGATACTGCCCGGGTGCCCAGACCGAAGCAGGTGGTTTTCTTGGGGTGCCACACCCCGAGCTTTTGACCCAAAGGTCTAACCCACAGGGCAGTGGACCACCGACTAAGTAACGCAATTGTTAGGAAACGGGTACTAGGTAAGGATGGAAAATCAATTGAAGAAGTAGTGAAACTTCATCAGTTGGCTGGGATGGCTGGGACACGTGTTACGTATGCCCAACCACCGACTGTCCCGACATGCGATGTTCAATGGTGTAGAAGTAGGTTGGAAGAATGCTAGGGGCGGCCAGACCACAACATGGCACAAATCCATGAGGTCACTGATAAGTGGATTGAGCTGTGTTGGTAGGTTAGGATCCGCGAGACGATAGCAATCGATGGTTAGAGACCCTGAATGACATGGCTCAAAATCGTTTGCAATGGCGCAAGGGCATCCACTCTTTGTGTTCTCCCAAATTCTAATCTTCTGAAATCTTCATGTCCCTTTTTTTCCTCTTCCCAAATTTATTTCACTGTATTATACTTCTTGAATAATATCTTCAAACCCTAATCTTCCCGATTACTGCTTATACCCTTACTATCACTACGGGATTTGAATAGACAATAGAATCTCTCTGCCAATGTGGTATGGCAACACGAACTGATGTACGTACGTGCGAAGTTTTACGTTGTTACTGACTGACTGACTAGGAGATTTAGCCTACGTAAATACTTAGTTAACGGGATAATATTTATTGGATTCAGATATAGGGGAATTAACCTCTACAATATATTGTTCACCATATTGCTAGTATCTTATATTAGTAGGCGGAAAAAAAACTATTCTGTACATGTGTAGTGTAATAACAATACTTTTAGTCCGTAAACTAAATCATACAGACTCCTGATAAAAATTCAAAACTACCTATCATGAAAGTTGATAATTACCTTAGATAAACATTCCAAGCTGACGCTACATATTTGTGCTACTCTCATCGGAAAAGCTTGTCTAGACACTCGAGGGTCGAATTCAACTCCCCCACCACCTGTGCCCACAGAGCATATTAGACCTCGTCCAATACCAGCGAAAAAATGAGTAGCATCATGGATAGGAACCCAAGCAAGTCTTGGTAGATTGTAGGCAACTCGATTGACCAAATCTTGCCAATGTTCGTCAATTAGAGCAAGACGAAGAGAATCGGAGTTACAAGGGGAATGAGTAGAAACATCTCCGTTAGGTGTAGATGTTGGGGTTGCGCGATACACAGCACATAAAGAACCAAGAGCTGAAAGTGCCGCTCCAACAGCAAGCTTTTGACCTGGCTGGAATACAAAATAAAAAGTCAAAATCCAGCTAAACACTAATAAATGTTGTCAAAAGAGTAATTGACTGATGCCAAGTAAAGAAAAGTTGGACTTTCTTCGCAGCATTACGAGTCGAGAATTTGAAAATTCAACTTAACGCCATTATAGAATATGAATGTCTCCCAACACTTGATGAGTTTGGAAAGTTGCGACAACCAGTTCCCTGAGTCTTTCTGTTTGTACAGTTATGATTGTTATAGGGAAGATATTGATTATATTGACAAACCAATAAAACTTTCTAAATACTAAAATCAAAAATATACAATGCACCTACCTATTGCGGCGAAACCATCTGTAGAAATAGATACCATTAGGGATCCATTGGAAATAGTCGTTTAGTTATCCAATAATCAAAGAATATGGTCAGCATTTGTTAATTTTAAATACAACACTCAAAAACAGTGTTCCATACTTCATATGTGAAAACGAACGGTAAACACAAGTGGTAATAACTTTCGAACGATGAAGTCCATCACAAGTAAACAATAGCAGCCATTATAGATTACAAATAATGGTAATAGAACTAATTCTTCATTAGATCTTTAGGTTGGCTACTTGAAGCTTGTGTTTTTCTTTCATAAAGAGTAGAAATGAGGATGAATTAAGTAAGAGCACGAAACGGCATAGACCCTACAATGTTGAATACCAATTGAAATAAGCTAACTAGTTGACTTCGAGAAAATTATCCAATCGTTAAATGAAACACCTTTGAAATGGGAAGCATCATTTGCCATTGGTCCTCTACATTCGACCAAAAAAGAGGATTTTGTGCGTAAATCGATTGGAACGCCAGCTTGTTTGTAGTTTCTGTATCTACGAAATTTTACATTATTAACTGAGACTCATCTCAGTGATACAAGTAAAAATACAAATTTCGTTTAAACGAATTACTAGTTTAATTTGCTAGAAAACCCATATACAACTCCATAAAAGCTAAGATTACATTTTCTTCAAAGTAAACAGTCGAAGGAACTTGGGATGTAGCAGAAAATTAAAAACAATCGGTGTACCCATGGACAAAATTAATATTAAAAACTTTCATTAAGAGTAGAACTAGGCTGTTAACAGATTGCCTGGATATCAATCAAGTAATTATGAATCAGTTGGCGAGTGAATTCAGACGATTATTACTATTGTAGTAACGGCATTATACACAAGCGCTAATCAAAGATATCTAAGCACTTATTAAAAAGTTTTGTTTTGTTTTTAACACTTCTGGAAATTAGACTGAAATTCACATAAAAATTGGGATGAAAATTTTATCCTATAATTTACGCTACAAACAAATCTACCCGTCTCGTTCAGCAGTAAACTTATTGGTGGGATATGACCAGCATATTCTGAATAAATACTTTCAAGGTGCTGTCACCTCATTTTTATTCGTATCTATGATCGATTACTTCATCATTTCCAATCTTTTAGAACGACGATTATGTCAGGGGAATTACGACAGTTAAAAAAAATTCATCAAAAAATACTACAGATCTATTGAATAAAAACAATTCTTCTTGACATAGAATGAATCCAGCTTTACTAAGAACTAAGTGCCTTAAATATTATGATTAAAAACCCGATTTATAGCTCACGAAAAACTACTTGAACTAAGAACATAAGTACATCTTGACTTTCTTTACAATCTCAATTCAATGACTAATAAACACACTCCATTCGAACTCGAGGTGATAAACATAACTCGGAAATACTACGAAAAACACATTACAAAACAACTAACCCGTAAAGATTGGGACTCAACGCCAGCAGACTTCTCGATGATCTCAATCAGCTGGTTAACGATTTGACGCCGGAGCTGAGGATGGCAGGCAGCCCAATGAGCCAACTCCATATACAGCATACAACCGACTTCTTGAAGAGCAGGAGGGCATGGTCCTGTGAGACCTGGGAGTACTAATTTTGATATAAGATTCGAAATATGTCCTTCAGGATCACGAGGAGATAGACGTTTAGCAACAGTTGTAAGCATGAACAGACATGCTTCAGACTCTCGAAGCACTTCATATGCCGACGCCTGTGCATTCTCAGACATAGCTAACATTTGCAGCTTCTGTACATAATTGTATAGCTAGAAATGGAAGATTATATTTGTTATAAATTTAGCCCGAAAAGTAGGCACTACCTTCGAATATCAAAATGGAAGGGAAAAGAAAGAAGACTAAAAAGTCTCACGTCTTGCAATATAACCATCAATATATAAAGCAATAGGTGCATCAATTATTGTTGTCTTTCTTAACCATAAACTAAGTACTTACAACTACGGTCAAGATAATCGGAAAACTCAATAATGACAAGCGATATGATAAAATTGACAAGTCAAAAATAAGAAGGGTACATAACACACAAATTTCAGCACTAACTCAAAACAAAATTGAAATTACATACCAGGACAGCTATTATTGGTACATATTCATGGTATACTTAAAATTGGTTATGTAAATTAGAAAGTTAAATTCAGAAACGAAATACTAGGATTATTGCTATCTTTGGTTGAATTCAGGGTCAAGAACTGCACAAGAGGCAAACAGACCATGCAGAACACGTCCAAAAAGTATAAAAAAGCTGCGTGGTTAACGTAGATCACTATTTATGACCATACAATCTATCCTTGAAGTCGCTAACCTCCTTGGATTCACTAACTTCTAGTCTTAGTCGTGTTGGTAGATGCAGACTACTTGGTTGGGGTCCGCGCAGCTATCGTAGCCAATGGTTGGAGACTGGGTGACATGGCTCAGAATCGATCACAATGGCGTAGGTGTATACTGTGGCAAGCCCATTTGGCTACTGTATCATTTATCTAGTCATTGTAACTCAGACTCAATTCACTATGTTAATTTCGGTGTGTATGATCGAATGTATGTCTGTACATTAACTCTTAAGCTATCTTCCTATTGGTTTCAGTGTGCAGATAATCGACAATCTATCCACACCCGATTAACTCTCAAATATATATGGATTTTTAACAGAATCACTCACTCACTCTGTTTCATCGTGTGCTTGCTCACCGTACGCTTGTGGATTATTATTATTCATTAACAATAAACTATCTCTATAACTGGTATTCAGGCTTTTCAATAATCTCGAGTAAATTCGCAATTCTACTAGGAGATTAAGCCTACCAAAAATACTCAGTTACAGGATATTATTATTTGGAGTCAGATATTGAGGATATTAGCCTCAACAATACACTCTCTATCTTCCTTTAAACTATGAGATTAAAATCGCTTCATATCTTTCTTTCTACATACTAAATCTTTTTTCCTGTACTATATACTTATATGCAATTTTTCTTTTATATATTACCACTACTTTATGAATTCGGTTTTCATTTTGTTGAACTAATGAGATATGGCAACGTGGACCGATGCACATATGTGCCTGGTCCTACGTTATAGATGACTGACTGATACAATCTACCTTAGTAAGATTAATGTTAGCAATGATGAGAATTGGAGGGGAGGGTAGCTTAAATACTATTTAGAACAAGCAAAGCTTGTCATAACCTAGTGAAATTAGATTGTGCGTAACTGTCAAAGATCGATTTCAGAACAATAATTTGCAAATTATAATACACGTTAACCATGATTACTATTCTAGTATATGCAGCTTGCTACATAATACATGATGTTACTTTGTTGTTACCACACTCTGATGTAAGGTATAATTTTATACACATCGTTATTGATGCGGTTCATGGCAAAGATGACACAGTAGTTTCCATCCCCCACAAAATACTTATAAGACCTAGAGAGCGACAAATTTCAAACAACCATCCATGACGTCTATTTGGAAAAATCAGCAGTTAACCTTTATCAACGTAGGACTTGGTACTGTACGACTGGTCACACACTAGCTACCTTGATCAAACTGAAGAGCAATTCAAAATATGAAATGAATGTTGTACAATAAAGTTAATAAAAATATAAAAACAGTATTTAAGAAATCACACCAATTATATAATATTGTGTATATATAATTACCTCGACAAAAATAGCCTCAGCTCCAACCAAACCCAGAATATCTTGCATGAGATCATGAACATCCTCACGAAAATCTCTTAATTCATCGGTGCTTTCTAAGTCGGATGTATTACTAGGACAGTAACTAGTTAACGCAACTACAACGCGAGTGAAGTAAGGAATTAAGGCTGCAATTGGGCGTGCCACGCCAGTAGAGGTATTAGAGTTGTTAACCGAAGATTCCAAGGGGCCCTGATTCACAGATACTGCAGCACTCATGGACCGGTGCTAATTCAAATAAGAGTACGAAAAGTCATTGTAAATAAATTCCATAATGTTCAACAAATTAGAAAGTACATAATAAACAGTGATGGCAATACGTTTGTAACGTAGGTGGAAATGTTATGGGAAAATGACACAGTTTGGATATCTGCTGAGAGCTGAATTCTTTATTATCGGAATAGGAGGTAGAGACATTCTTTTATGATTTACTTGACCTTTATTTAACAGTTTATCAGTATGCTTTAACTGGTTCGTAAAATATGCTTCTTATTTTCAGTATACCCCAAAGGAAGAAATGTCTTTGAGCCTAAGCTAAACTACCTACCACCGAATTATTTGGCCATATTACTTTCTTCTTTTCAATGATTTACTTATGCATGAATCATTTTATTGACGGTCCATTCCTTGCTTTTGATTGCGTTTAGAATATAAATTTACTTCTGTCTACACAGAATACTAAAATTTAGTTAAATCCGAAAAGACTTAGGAATGGACCCATCATTGTAGTTTTTATCAGTTATCAGTTGTGACGCTACGGGTTAGGGAATAATCAGTGCCGTATTTTTAATAAAAAGTAGTACAATCCCTTTGTTGAGTAGTAGAGCGAGTGTCAAGATAGTTGGTTTAAAAACAAACAAGACAGCCATTGATTGGTTTAGTGAAACGTTAGAAATATTATTAGACACTTAATAAAGATACAGTTCTTCAAACTTACTCGAATTGCATCATCAGCCAACGAATGTAAGGCGTGGAATGTAATAGATGCCAATTCACGACTACCGAGAGGAGGAGGTATTTCAAGAACTACAAGAATACACTCCATAGTACGCAAGTCTCCAAGACCACCTGATCCAGGGCTAGTGGGCTGATCTACTAGAGGAGGCCGTAAAGTTCTGGCTAATGACGAGAAAATGTGAGCCAAACAAGTACACCGATCTTTGTACAGTTCAAGCTGTTCTTGTTGTTGAATTGATCCCAACGCAGACGCGACAGAATTGGAACATTCCTGCACAACACTAACTAGACTGTAAATATTTTCTTGAAGCCAACGCAGTAATTCACTGTTTGAGTTGCTAAGTTGCTTGAATCAGAATTAACAAAAGGAAGGTAACCATTTTCCAACAAAAACGTAAGTAAACGAAGTTGAAAAAGGCAAAAGTTTCAATTTAGTTTGTAATAGTTTGGGTTATCCTATTGTTAATATTTTGAGTGAATTTTAATCAGTCCTAGTATATGTGCATCCTGCGAGGATTGCCTCGATATATCCATTATGACATAAGTCTACATAAAATAGACGGAATGTGACTAGCAATAAAATCAAGGACGCGAGTTTCGTGTTGTTCGAAAATCACTAAATGGGTGAGCCAACGTTGATATTTGAAGAGAAATGTAGTATCCCAACCCCGGATTTCACTGCTAGGCGCATTCAATCTACTATATAAAAAATTCTCACCTGCATATATAATCAGTATATTCAGCAGAGACCAAGTCGAAAGGCTAACTACTTGATTCAATGTTACATGACACTTAAGAATTAGGATAAGCTAAGAGAATATAAAACCATGGAGGCTTCATAAATCGACGAACCAACCTATCGTGACTTGACAGAGACAGGTTTTTCTTGAAGTAAGTTGGTCGGTACTTTGGAATTTATTTTCCAGGAATTAGGGAATGTTACTTGAATGTATTTGTAGATGAATACGAGTCCTCGTCGACACTATTTTAGGTCAGTTTGAAGGAGACAAGCGGTTTGTCATGAAGTTTCATAACAAATAAGGATTTACTTTGATCCGTACATGCTTCTAACGACTTAAGAACTGTTCCGAAACATTTAACAGTAAGATGGGACATTCAAAAGGCGCACATAAAAAGCGGAGATAAGTATTTAAGCGAAAAATGTTGAATATGCCATACAGAAGTTACAGTTTTTCTAGTACAAGGTTAATCTACAGACATGTAATTAACAGTAATACAGCTAAAATAAATTGGCTTACCTTACACTGGTATAAAAGTGCTAGCACCCACTGAGATGCTGCATCGAAAGTTGATTCAGGAGTAGTGGAAGGATTCCGAAGGATAGCAAATGCAGTGTTTAAGAGAGGGTCAATCGGTACATCGTGTTCAACCATGACTCCAGTATTATCCCACCAACTTGCAAGACAATTATATACCTTAGCTAAGATAACCATTTGTTCTGATTTTGCTCTGTGAGACTAAAAACAAATAGAAGACCTCAGTATTGATAACACAAACACTAATGCCGTCTACCTTAGCCAGAACCATCATTTCAAGGCTTACGAACAGGATTCTGCATAAAATTATTGGTTCACGCAAAGGGACTTCTATCTAGTAATAATACCATCAATTACGAAAAGACAAAATGAGACCGAATTTCGGAATTTTTTCCTTTGTTTTAAAGAACAAACAATGCTTGTGAAATTAATTAATTATTCCTATTTCGTGCTATCATTTTGGGTGCAAAACTCTGTGGCTAACTACTTGATATAATGGTTTGAAAATAAATACATATTTCAAACTACAAATATTAAATTGATACTTAAGTTTAACAACAACTAGATCAGATTTGTAATATGATGTGACTATGATAACTTTTACTTAACTTCCGAAAGCGGCTACAAAAGAGTAAATATCTTACGGGTAAAAGACAGAATGGATAGTATTTAAACCATAAAATGTTTCTACCCAATAATCTGTATGGGAAATCCGGTTGGCATAGTAAAGACCTTATGCTTTTAAAGAAAGTTGGAGTTCGTCGTTGTTGAGAAAAGTACTTAAAAGAATTAGTGTGGTAAATGATTACCATGGAATACAAAAGATAAACCACTGAAAAACCAGGCTTTCAGTAGCCGAAAATCTTATTATGTATTGAATATCTGAACACCTTAACTGACCGTCAGCCATACTTTACTCACCCACCACCCTCAATATACATGAATGGCTAATTGACGTAAGTGGGGTTGAAAAGGCCATAGACAATCTAAGGCGAGGGGAGTAGCATGTTCAGATGGACTAGCTCCAGAAATCTATATTAGTTGGGACATGGTACAACAAAACAATTCATTTGTGTGGTGCATTTTTTTCTTCTGTAATACATGCCTGCTATTTTTTATCAACTACAGTGATTATATGTAGCAATGAAGATAGCTCATTTTTGTCCTACTCTGATACGTCATATTTCAAGATGTATCTTAAGCACTCTAGTTGAATTACATTCTTGATGCTTATATATCAACTTTGGGTGTATGTAAAAAATGGAAATGGTTGAAACAGGTAAACAGTACAATTTATGACCATATCTACTTATGGAACAAGAAATATGTAAATAGGATATAAAGTAAATTACGTTTCAAAAGATACGGAAGCAACAAAGGTTTTAAGAGTATGTGTTGTAATTCTGATGGAGTGGTACACAAAATAGCAAAGAAATAAGTTATAGAGCAAATTTAGAGTGGAACTACGACCACTTCAATTTGACGATGAATGAGAGGACAACTATCCTTCTAAAATTAATATCAAGATGACTCGGTATGTAAAAATGTAAGGGTAGTTAACAAAAGATCGTAATTTATTTGCTGGCGGTAAAGAATACATGTGATCTACACTTGTAGTAAAGTTACAAAATATAATATCGCAAAACCTGTCTTCACAAGGACATACGTAAAAAAAAGATGTATACGGCATCAACAACCGATTTGTAGTGAAGTGATGCACAATTTAACCTGAGGTTGTCAAATGCTTACCAGAAACTCCAACACAAACTGTTTGCTCCCTTCAAACTGACTCATAAGAGCGTGTCGACGATTCATTCCTAGTCGAAGAGTACTGCTGTTCATCTACAAGTGCATTAGAATAACACGCTCCCTACCTCTTCAGGAATAAATTTCAGAATATCAATTAAGTAGCTACATGAGACGTCTGGTTCTGAAAATCTGTGGAAATATTTTAATAAATACTCTGCAATTACTTCGAAACAATATCTTTGATACCATCTTTCCACTGAACCATATGGCAAAACAAATCTGCGACGGCTAAGCACAACTGATTTGCTATCGGTAGGCTAGTGTTTTCTCTAAGTTCTTGGACATGTTGCAGGAGAGAGTTTTTTAGTCCCTGGAACTAAGCTGGATAGATAATCGAAACATACTTCGTGCGACTCCACTGGGAGTTCAGTAAAGTGACATTGAATCTTAAAGTATTACTGGCTCCTACATAAAACATACCTTTTTGCGTATGGTTTGAGCTCCAAAGTAACAAGAATTTAAATCTCTATTCATATAAAGCAACTGATCGGATATTTGCCAAGCATAAACCTAAAAGGTCATGTAGGTAAGAAAAGTTACTGATTTTTGAAATTCACACAGCCATTTTGAAGCTTGCTCTTTGACAGATGTATCTGGATTCATATACAACGCATCAATGGCAGATAACACAGACTCAACAGACAAGCTGGAGCCCTCTACCATCCTTGTTTGGTTATTTTTGAACTACGCACGACCCTACTACTTGTACAACGTGCCAAGCTGTAGACCTATGTTACAATACACTGGAGATAAATGCAAGGCTATCTATCAACACAACTTTATTAAAAATATGATTGGAAATTAGTATCATATTGAAGAACAAGGCTAATAACATATTTCCTGATATTTGAGAGTTAGTTCAAGATAATGTTGTTCGCTTAATTGGTGTGATTGACGGAACAGTTCAACATGTTATGGATCATTCCGAAGTCACCTACTGATATTAAAAAATTCATCACAGTATTGAGATTAGATGGTGGTTGGAGGTAGTCAACAGGAAACCCTGGACCCGGGTTTCGTGCTACTTGGCACTCGTCAGCAAGGTGTACCTGTAATCTTGAGGGAACTGGTGCTCCCTGGCGGATTCGATCTCGTGTCACCCAGCTTCACAGTCAGAGACGTTACCACTGAGCTATCCGAGCCGTGACTAACCCCCTGTAGGACTGAGATGTAATCACAATTGATTGATCACTGGGTGGTGATCAATCTCATGCTTGTCTAGTCCTTATTAGTGCAGATCGAATGCTATCGATCATGTTGCAATGTGGCCAACAGTCTAGGTGACTCGACACTGCGGGCACGAAACCCGGGTCCAGGGTTTCCTGTTGACTACCTCCAACCACCATCTAAATCTCAATACATAGTGCCCGCAGTGTCGAGTCACCTAGACTGTTGGCCACATTGCAACATGATCGATAGCATTCGATCTGCACTAATAAGGACTAGACAAGCATGAGATTGATCACCACCCAGTGATCAATCAATTGTGAATTCATCACAGTATTTGACCAATTTAAAACTGGAAGAACAGAGCATGCTGAGTTCAAATCCTAGAACTATTAATATGTATGGTAACGAAATAATTCCCACTTCACATCCAATTTCTGACCCCCAGGATCAGAATAGCAATCAACATCAGGACGAAGAATTCTCGCATCCTACAGTACCAATCCACCGGATAAAAATGGCCCTCGAGCATAAAGGCGGTTATAACGACTGCCGATTAGACATGGCAGATACTTCCTAAGCTAGCGCTTGTGCAGATAGCTATAAACCAAGATACAAGTGTGGAGATAGGCCTGACAAGCTTATTTTGTAAATAGTTTTCAATGTTATTTGTATTCATTTTGTCAACCACAATTATTTAGTGAGCCTCGATTTTTTTTATATAGACATCTACTATATATACATCTACATATTTTTTTATTATTATTTGGCACTACACACCATTTATGTTTTTGACATTATGAACTCTCCTAATAAACTTATTGATATAGATAGCCCATCAACCAACCCCTTTCATTCATCACAGCCAAAAGATAATGTTTTAAACTCAGTCAACGCTATTTCTGAACTAAGATTACCAACATACGGTGTCAACAACACTAGAATTTGGTTTGCTCAAGTTGAGGCACTATTTTTGGCGAGGGGTATACGTTCGCAAGCTACCGAATATGCCCACGTCGTCAGTGCACTACCTATAGAAGTAGCAACGGAAGTCGGTGACCTGATCGACAACGTACCAGAAATTGACCCTTATGACAAGATAAAAGCTTCAGTAATCCAACGCACATCGCTCTCAGATGAAAAACATTTACAACAACTGCTTACCTCATGCGAACTAGGGGATAAGAGACCTTCACAGTTGCTCCGACACATGAGACAGCTCGCTGGCCCATACAAATTAGACGAGACGCTACTTAAGCAAATGTGGTTACAAAGGTTACCACATAGTGTTAGACAAATTCTCAGTATTTCAGGAACCTTTGTCACCCTCGACGACTTAGCTGACATGGCTGATAAGATGATGGAAATATATCCCCATAGTCGCGGAATCAACGCGGTACAAACCTCTAGTAGAGATGCTATGAACCCCCCTCTGAACATTCAGCAGCAAATAGCACACTTAACTCAGCAAGTAGCATCGTTGCAGGCGACCATTGCCACGATCCACTCTCGTCCTGCCAGATCGATCTCGAGAAAGCGATCAAGGCCCAGACCTCGCACTAGCTCATCCAAACGGGCAGCGGACACTTGCTGGTATCATGCGACTTTCGGGGAGAAGGCACGTCGTTGCACTAAACCGTGCAACTTTACGACAAACAAGCCAGATTATCAGTGAAACGAGCAGGCCAGACAGTAATGGCGGCGTCTGTTACTGGCCAACAAGTTAGCCGCCCCTTTCACATCAGGGATCGCATTTCCGGCTCGGACTTTTTAGTCGATATATGAGCAGAAATTAGCATTATCCCACTGCACCTCTCCCGAAGACAACAAACAACAAGCACTAAGCTGTCTCTCATTGCGGCTAACGAATCAATTACCAAAACTTACGGAGAGCAATCTCTTATATTATATGACCAAGAAGAGATTAATCGACGCAAATACACGTTTACAGGTAGATGGTACACCTTCCAACGACTATGAAATCCATGGTGTACGGATAATGAAACCTGCGAACAACGTTTTCAACGACATTCTGTCAGAATACGAGTGCATCACGAAATCAGATTATCAAAAGTAATGTAATCCACATCAGGTGCAACACCACATCATTACCACCGGTCCACCTATTAGCGCCGGGGCGAGGAGACTACCGCCAAGCAAGTTGCAAGTAGCTAAAAGACAATTCGAACATATGATGCAACTTGGTATTATCAGACCATCTAGCAGCCTATGGGCTTCCTCACTACACGTGGTCCCGAAAAAGGATCAAGGTTGGCGCCCCTGTGGAGACTACCGCCGCTTAAACAACCTGACTATTCCGGATCGATACCCCATTCCTCACTTACACGACTTTTCTTTGAATCTACACGGAAAACGGATCTTTTCGAAGTTAGATCTTGTCCGAGCATATCATCAAATACCGATGGCACCTGGGGATATCGAAAAAACAGCCGTAATCACACCTTTCGGCCTGCTTGAATTCTTGAGGATGCCTTTCGGATTAAAAAACGCTTCCCAAACCTTTCAGAGATTCATGGACGAAGTAACCAGAGGTTTGGATTTTGTTTTTGTCTATGTCGACGATGTTTTAATCGCCAGTCCTTCCACTGAAAAACATGTTCAGCACTTACACACACTTTTCAAACGTTTCAAAAGTTGTGGTGTTGTAATCAATCCTCCACTCTGGAGTTCCTGGGACGTTACATTGATTCCCAAAGAATTAAACCGTTGAAAAAATAGTCGAAGCCATTGTCAACTTTCCTGAGCCCAAGTTGATAAAAGCATTACACCGGTTCCTGGGAATGTGCTATTTTTACCGACGTTTTCTCCCTAGCTGTGTGGCCATTTTGCAACCTTTGACGGATTTACTGAAGACGGATAAAACCACAGCTCAGACCAAAAAAAAGAATACCTTCACGTTAACACCTGAGGCCAGAAAGGCTAACGTTAAAGCGAAATTGATGATATCCAATGCTACCATGCTACAGCACCTAAACACCGATCCCACAACAAACCTCATCCTCTGCACTGACGCCTCCCAGAAAGCAGTAGGAGCAGTATTACAGCAATGCGTTAACGACAAGTTTACTCCTATAGCGTTCTTTTCCAAACGATTATCACCAACTCAAGTGCGTTATAGCACCTTCGGACGCGAACTTCTGGCTATGTACTTAGCTGTAAAACACTTCAACTTCCTGCTTCAGGGACGTGATTTCACTATTATGACTGATCATAAACCACTTTGCTATTCTTTCAACTCGTCCTACGACAAACATTCTCCACGGGAAGCTAGACAACTGGATTACATTTATCGATTCACTACGGACATCCAGTTCATCAAAGGCTCCTCCAACATTGTCGCTGACGCTCTATCTAGAAAGGATATCAACATGATGGTACACAACCACAACATCAGCCTTGAAGCTTTAGCTAAACTACAAGTGGACGATGCAGATTTGAAGACCTGCAAAGAGAAGTCTAACTTGGATCTTAAGCCTGTACCCATTCCTTTCTCAGATGCATCTATTATTTGCGACACTTCAACGGGTAACAATCGCTCCTTTGTGCCACAACCCTGTCGACGAAAAATATTTCAACAGCTACATGGACTGTCGCATTCAGGCATCAGAGCTACCACGAAGCTTATCACAGAACGCTTTGTTTGGCCAAAAATCAATTCGGATTTTAAACGTTGGACACGTAACTGCCTCCAGTGCCAACGCAACAAAATCCAAAAACACACTATCAGCCCGATCGGGGAATTCCCTATTCCCGACAAACGTTTTCAACATATTCATTTGGACTTAGTTGGGCCTCTGCCTCCGTCAAACTCCTTCATCCACATTCTTACTGCGGTGGACAAGTTCACAAGATGAGCCATAGCCTGCCTCATAAAAGACACTTCGGCAGAAACAGTCGCTTCAGTCTTCCTCGACCGTTGGATATCTAACTATGGAGTACCATCAATAATCACAACAGATCGTGGTCCCCAATTTCAATCTGCCATTTTTCAGGAGTTCACTAAACTTCTAGGGGTCAACCACATTAAAACCACAGCTTACCACCCAGCAGCTAATGGCATGGTTGAAAGATCCCATCGCCAATTAAAAAGCTCACTGATGGCGCAAGCTGATTCATCAAAGTGGAGCGATGCCTTACCGCTTGTACTCCTCGGTATTTGTTCAACCATAAAGGAAGACATTGGATGTACAGCCGCCGAGTTAGTCTATGGTACGACTCTAACGTTACCTGGTCAACTATGAACCTACAACGCACGGGGATTCTACTCACTTCGCAAGTCGCCTATTACAAACGATGCAGAATATTAAAGCAATATCCCCTCGCGAACACAACAATCGAGTCCAACTTGATAAAAATCTTGAAACGTGCAAATTTGTCTTCGTTCGAGTAGATGCGGTTAAAAAAACCATTAGAACAACCATACGAAGGCCCATATAAAGTAATTAAACGCACACAAAAATACTTCATCAACAGAGATGGCAACAAGCAGACCATTTCTAT